AAAGTGGTGTGAATCATATCTGAATTCTTCAGAAATTTTGATTTTGAAATTGAGTATTTTATCTAAAATCCAAACGAACGATCGTAAATCCCGTTATAAAACCATTTCCTGGATAAATTAAAGACCAAACTTATTTGTACCAAAGAAAACTTCTTATTTAATGAAAATTAAAGAACGAGGGCGCTTTTGATTGGCATTCGGCAGGAATCTGGGCGCACTTGAAAAGTGAAAATTTCATTGATCTGTCACATAAAATTTTATCATTCTTTTGATGTAACGGGTTCCTGTGAAATAGGAAATGGAAATATTTTCCCGATATTGTATTTTGATTTGCTAAAAAAGAACTTGAAAATTGGCTAGATGAGTTATTTGGTACAAAATGTTACATTTTCAAAAACGTTTTTCTAAAAATTTGCTACCTCTGGGTCATCTCTCCATGATTTTGAAACGTTATTTGTGTGCATTTAAATTCAAAGAAACGAACAAACATTTGTAAAAAAAAAAAATGGAGGGAAGACCCAGAGACAATAAAAAATGAACTTTTTCCAAAAAAAATTCCAATGTGTAAATGCGGTGCTTTATTGTCGCTTTAAAAAACCATAAAGTGTGTGGAGTGGTGATAGCTCAGTAGTATGCGTAACCCGTCCAGTGCATTAAAAAAGAAATATTTTTGGTTCCATCCTTGCATGGAGCGTTAATATTTTTTTTAGTACAAACAATCAATTCTTTTGTCAGTTTAATTTTATGTACTGATTTATTTTCAATTAGATAAATTATGGTTCTGTTGCACCGAAAGTGAAAGCAATTTTTCCAACCTACTGACACTTTAATATATACATTATAAGCGGACTGATATATTAAATTCGACCCAGTATTTCAAACTAAATGTAACATTTTCCCATGTGCGTAACTTTGTAAAGTGTGTCCAGCTGTGGTCAGCCGACCAAATCGTAGACATTTAAACTATAAATGTTTCGTACGCCTTATTCCTGCAGATCACACGCCAAACACGCCCATCTTCTTTGAAAAAAAATTTTGTGATTCACTATTTCTGTGAAGAATTCATTCAAACTTCTACATGAGGTTTTATATCAATGAGCAATATTTATTTTCGTTCATATTTCGATTTCATATTTTCCAAAAAACTCAAAATAAAAGACAAACAAAGTCTACCACGTCGCTTTCATGTATATATTTTTTAAATAAAATATAAATGGTAGTGCTAACTGACACTAAACTATACGACACATGAAAAACACACGAAAAACTTTTTAAGCGTCAATTTCTCATATCAATGCAGTAATATTATCACCTGCAAATGGTTCTATGTCTCCCATGAAATATGGAAATAACAAACAGCAACAGAAATCCGGAGCAGAGCAAACACAGACTTCTTAAAATACATCAGGGGTGGGATCAGGTGCCTTGGAGGAGTATGCATCCCCTGTCGACAAGTCACTCCCGCCGTGTGCTCTTTGTCGTGATCAAAAAAACGGAAAAAAATCCGTAGACGTTTCAGTAGTATGAAAGACTTCAGCCAGCATTTGACTTAATGATAGATTGTATTTGCTTACAAGGTCATTGTATCAACCATAGAACCTGCCAAATGATGTTTTTTAACGAGACTGTTGATATCCTTGTTTCAACAACTTGTTTGTCAATAGATTCCCTCGTTTTAGAAATTGTTAATACATGGAGTATGCTCTTGCGTATCGAATCAACTGGGAGACAAAAACCCCAGATGCAGGTGATAAGGGTATATTGCTACATAAGTAAAGGAAGTTTACGTTTATCATGAAATTTTGTTGTTAGATTTCCATTAACGTCTTTTTCAAGTAAAATATCCAAATATGAAACAGATGTGTCGGACTCTTTGGTATCTTTTATTTCAAGTTCACTGGGATATATCAAGTTGACATTTGAATAGAATGCATTATTGTTAATTGACAATACGTTGTCGATTTGATTAACTGATTGATTGATTGTATATTGTTTTACGTCCCATTCGAGAATTTTTTTTTATTCAGATAGAGAGGCCACCATATACCTGTGAAGGGCTTCAAATTCACCTCGGTTTTTAAGGTCTCATCTAGTGCCGGGTGCTTAGCGAAGGAACAGTCACTACCTATATTTACATCTTAGGTTTGACGCGGCGAGGCGAACGAGAAGCGTACACCGGCCATACGATCACAAAGCGAACGCCCTACCACTAGGCTACCGTGAGCGGTCGATTTGAAGGCCAAAGCAAGTGTTTTCTTCCACTCATGTATATTTTATGAATAAATTCTGCTTCATACGAATACAAAAATAGGTCTGCTAATAACGGGATGCAATTGGTACCCATGGGAATTCCAACAGATTGTTGGAAGACCTGATCTCCAAAACTACATAGATATTGTCTATCAGAAATTCAATAATCTCTTTGATATCTCTTCAGAGTACTTGGTATACAATAAGAATGTTTTTTATCAAAATAATTTTGCAAATGACCAATGACAAGGTAAAAATATATATGACTTTCATTTTTATGGAAAAAGCAGCTGTCTATGATGTCAAAAATTATCGTGGGGAACGAATGTTTAAGTATTGAAAAGTCGTACATTTTAATGTTATTGATTTTGGTAAAAGTTTGTAATTTCAAATTTTCTAACAGTTCCCTGGATTTTTTGAGTATCCACAACACTACTTCTCGAATTTATTTGTAAAGTATTCATTCTCATTCACTGCTGTTAATATTTTTGTGGGGAGTAGGAAACAAAAGTTAGAACATTTACAGGAACCGCTATGAATCTTTGTAAGGATTTTTATGAAGTTTAGGCATTCAGTAAAGGTATGGTAATTCAAATTCATTTTTATTGTGGGGAATATCAAAAAATATTTAAAACTGACATATGAGTTTAAAGAATTTCCTCCTAAGAAAGGGAGCTGTGGGTATAAGTTGGATTACCTCTTGCAGAATTAAATCTCACTTCCTTTAAAATACAATTAAAATTATGAGCCTTTCAAACATAGATAATGTTGTTACCTGCTTTGTCAGCTGGGACACCAGTATATACTGATCGTGTAATCTATCCAATTCTTTTTTTTACTTCTGAATTATTGAAGACAGAAGGATAGATGGTTTTCATATTGCCCCTCAAACGATTCATCTGAATCGGTACATCTGATTCGATACGGAAGAATATGTTTTGAGTTTGATCAATTTTTAAACCGAGGTAGGCTACTGACAAAAATTTTGATTTTACGTGGCCTTTACCAATGTCGTTTGAAGTCAATATTGTGCCAGTTTTATGGACATTACAATGATCTATTTGCCAAAGCAACCTACTGCTGAGTCCTAATTTTACTGATATGTTAGTTAAGCTTTTATACTTATTTTGATTAATGACTACCCACTTTACCTGATCTATAGAGGTCCCACCGCGGATGTAGCCGGTCGACAGGGGGTTGCTTACTTCCCTTAGGCATCTGATCCCACCTCTGATGTTTCATCTCTTTCAAGAAAGTTAAAATTATATAATGGTTTAACATTAAATACGAGAGATATCTTATTTTGCTATTGGTTTCTTTCTAAAATTAAAAAAAATCTGCGATGTTTAGATTTCAGTGCTTTTTACAATGTAAGGATATTCTGCATAAAAAAAATGCACCGATGTCATTCATAACACACTAATTTATAATCAGTAGAATATTTCTCCTTTTTATTTTTCCTTATTTAAAATATGGTATAACGATTTCAAACTCCTAGACTGCCACTCCTTCAGTACAATAGGCTGAAATAGATTGTGGTGACTCATCAAACTGAGCACAAAGAAAAGATCTTGGAACAAAGTCCTATATTTCAAGTTATTGTGAACTATGCAGTTATAATTTGCTAAATGCTGTCTAGGAAAACAGCTATGTTGTTAAAAATATGTACCTGTCCTTGAAAAATTAAAGAAATTTAGAATCAAGAGACGTTATTTCATTTAATGTTGAACTAATATATTTCAAAATCGTACAATGGCTTTCTAAACCTCAGTTCAAAACCTTTACCGAAAGCAGTTCCATTCATTCCCAAGTAGCTAAAATTGTACTTTCATGTTGCATGTTAACATGTATTTCGCATGCCACCAGTCATGTTTCGACTTGGATGCTTCTGATTACCTCTATTTTCTGAAATGTGTACATTCTACATTTTATTATACACGATATACATGGCATATTTGATTAAATGTGTATAAAATATATTCAAAGGTAGAAATAGCATTCTTTTTTTTATTCTTTGGAATCTCTGTGATCTAACATAGTCTTGAAAACATTTAAAGTAGGGATATGAGTTTTACTTAGAATTGTTGCAATCCTTGTTGCACCAAAATTAACTTTTCAACATGGAGTGATTTTTCCCAAAGTATTTTCATCAAATATGCCTTGATTTTGTGTTTGTGTCATGAAACAACTATTTATTGCATAATCGGATAAAAGAAATTCTATCGAAGCCCTTGACAGCCTCTCACTCCCCTCGATTACTCCTTGTGAGAAAGACACTGGCATATTGACAATAAATACGCTTTTGTCTGTATTACCGGTTAATCTGTCCTCGTATTCTCCTATGAAGACATAGAGTGTCCCATGGCTGTAATTACTATTTCAGAGTATACTTAGTTTTATACATCAGTATCACATAATTCTATATATTGACACGTTTTATAGATCACAGAGTAAGGTATAGATATGTTTATTTTTTTCTTATATATTCTCAATTGATGATACTTAAAGTCAAGTGTGTGTTGACTTTAAGCCGTTTGGTTAATAATTAAACAGTTGATAGCTTCAAAAATTTCCCCCAGTAGATTATGCGGGATATATCGACTTTCTAATCGATATTAGACTGTATATAAATGCAGTGAGTAGAGGAATTGATCGGAGTACAGTGGGATCATACTTGAGAGATTCCTGAAAGCTTTTGAAAGTTTTTACTAATTTTCCATTGTTTGCAATCACCTCTTTTGAAGAATTCTTTGCTGTTGTATGTGTTACGACTGACTTTTAAGAATGTCGATTTCTTCTGTCAGTTTCGATATATTGCAGGATGAACCTGATGTGCGATTCATGGATAAAAGAAGAGTTTAAATATTATAGTGAATTTAATTGAAAATCAAATAAAGCCTTGTACCAACGAACTGCTCATACAGTCATCTGCAACGAAACACAACAGTAGGTATCAGGCGCTTCATCTTAGAATAAATTTAAGTTTATCAAACGTATGCGCTCTCTCTCTCTTTCTCTCTCTCTCTCTCTCTCTCTCTCTCTCTCTCTCTCTCTCTCTCTCTCGTATCTTCTAACTCCATACACTGTTGTTTGTAAGAACATACTGAGTTAAATATTCTAAGTTTAAATATTACAAAAATGGAATACACACATTACAAAGAAAGCAAAACTGTTCTTGAACTGCAAAAGTTTAACGATGAAAAATCTTTGTAATCAGACAGTATCAAAGTAAAATCAGATATGCTTAACTGTGGGACATTTTAAATTTATTTTATTATTTTGAAAACTCTATACTTCTTTCATCCTGAATTCAAATTTTATCCCTTTGGGAATCACAAAATTTTATTAAAGATATGGATTTTTGGCATCAATTTCAAAACAATTGAAAATTAAATTCGACATTCATTCCTGGAAAAAAAATAATGGGACAACTAATGCTGTGTATCACGTGCTAAATCTGCTCACAATTAACCTTTGGATTTTGCATGTTGGTACATAATACTCTGAACACATAAAAAGATGGCACTTTAATTATACATTTGAATAGTGCTACTAAAGCTTTTTCTGTTTATTCTTATAGTGTTACATAAATCAGAAATGATAAAGATTAAATGAGAGAAAATATGAATAGAAATATCAAACTTTATTACGCATTTAAGCGTAAAAATTGCAATTTTGTTGTATTTTGTTTATTTAGCCTACTATTTTTTTTATCAGTCTCCTCTGTTTGCATACGTTATCCTGCAAAAAGGTTTTACCGATCTCACTGTTTGAGACCACAAAGAACATGTTTGTTACCGATTTCACTTTTGAGATTATAAAGAACAACAAATATCATGAGATATCTGTTCTGTGTCAGACGTTTCTTCTTGGAATCCTAAAATTGATATTCCAGACATGGTAATGCCCAACACGGACAGCTCTGCACAAACTAGAAATTATCCACCGTCCATGGTGCATTCCCTGATATCAATGGTTCCAAAGGGACCTTAGGATTAAAACAACACCTATTGATTAGGAAGAACTCGAGCTAGGCCCTACCTAACTCGTATTCAAGCGTAAATCGACATCATTGATCCTGATGATGCATACAAATTAATAATATGATGTTCCAATGAACATAAATGTTTTAATTCATTGTTGTCCTGATCAATTGAGGCTCAATTAAAGGCTCTATTAATTGTAACACTACAGCACATTAACGAGCATGAGATTCGATGAGAATTGAATCTGTACTGGGCATCATATATGAGGATCATGGGGCATCTGACTAGTTTCTATCTTTAAACGTTCATTTTGTTGATGTGGGTAAAGATGATATAAATTTTCATTATAGAAATTATTGGAAAATAGCAACAAAAAACTTCAGATAAAAGACAAAATTAAATTTTAATGCTGTAGGAGAATACGCATCATTTTCATTTTTCAAGCTAATCTTGGTATTCATGGCTTCAATTTTTCAACAACATATAGTCTCTAAGGGAGTATTCTGAATGCTTTTAACGAGAGATTTCCCAACGTTAAAATGAAGCGTATTTTGTTTCTTTAATGCTTAAAGAAGTGCAATATGTCACACTTTTCGCAAAAATTGTTTTTGGTTGCGGCTGTTGCTTTATTCCCTTTCTCTTCTTAAAAGAATATAAAGAGGCTGTTGCAGGAACTCGTGATTATTCCCCATATCGAGAAGGACATTTAAATACCCACGACGCATGAAGAGTTATCTCTAAATATAGATAATACGACGTAGATGACTTTATTTATACGACGGGTATGTCCAGCTTGTTATAACAAAACATTTCACAATTTACGTTTATTTCATGCAATTTTTTTTTCCTAACATAGACTGGCGACCTGAGTAAGTCTTTTTTCCACATCTATGGTCACTGTCGCCATCTTTCACGAGAAAAGTTAGAACGATAAAAAGCACAATTAATGGCAAGTGCACCTCGCACATCATTTTGAAAGATGTACTGTAGACAGCGTATTAATATTTTTCAATATATGAAAATGTATCCAATAATCACGCTGTTGATGCAATATCCAAGAAATTCCATTTAGTCATTTCATTTTAGTTGTTTCAAGTCAAATCTGAACCACTAGTTAACAGAACAATAATGAAACGAAATGCATATATAAAAAAAATTTTAAATGATAGTACTTTATTTTTTTAAGACATCGCCACTTAATAATTAAATATTGAATCTCTAAAGAGAGATGTTACTTTGTACTTCCATTATATAAGAAAAAAAAAATATGTACCAGCCAGTCCAGGATTCGAACCCATTCTCAGGTAAAAGAATCTTTACACAGAGTCCATACGTTATACCACTAGACCAGCTCCGACAGCGAAGAATATTGGGCTATTTTATGTGCACATTTTGCATTTCGGATGGATAATAATTTTTATTCGATTTTTGTGATTTTCAAAAATATGCCTCTTTGAAACAAAAATCGGAAATGGTAGTTTTGAAGAAAATTCCTGTCTCTATATGCGTATATCAAATTCATTCTGTTTCAAGGAGGCAATTTTTCAGAACAGCGGGGATTCCCTATTTGAAAAACTTATATTTTGCTATGTGACTAATTTACACCTCATTTGGCAGATTGGAAGTCGATATGCAGTTTCTAAATATTGTTCTACATTTTACTGTATATACCGTTGTATCTGAAAAAATTTAAGACCGTTTTCTGTCACTTAAAATTTTTCTTTTAATCTGTTACAACTTTAGGGAAAATAACAAAAGAACTGCAACACCCTCTTTATCCTCGTAACATCAAGACAAAAGGAGAGTGCCTTATGAGAAATGTGTAACGTCAGAAGTTTAAATAGGTTCAATGGCCTTTCATTTTTGTCTATCAGTGGAAGATAAGTAATAGGAAGAAACGATTAAACTCTAATATTTAAGGAATTTTACTGCCTAAAATGTTAAATTGAAAAAGATGAAGATAACGAACAGTTATCGATCTCAACAATCCTACAAACGATATAAATCTGCGAACAGGGCATAAAACACTCACCCCTGAAATCCAAGAGGTGGGATCAGGTGCTTAAGAGTTGTAAGCATCCCCTATTGACCGGTCACAGCCACCGTGAGGCCCATGTATTAATGAAGGAGATGGAATATTCCGTTGTGAAAGTGAATATTAAAACAAAGGCCTATAAATTGGTATGAGATGTTTCAGTCAAAATACGACCAATGGATAGGTTGTATTTGCTAACGACCATAGAATTTTTAAAAAGCTAACTTTCAACAAGGTTGATGAAATCCCTATAGGATCAACTTATTTGTAAGTAGCCTGTCCTAGCTTGGTTTAAAAATTGATTGTTTTCAGAGCATCCTCTTGAGTATTGAGAAAGTTGGGAAACATAAACACTAAATGCAAGAATTATTGGAATATTACTACATAAATAAGGAAAGTTGGCGATAAAAAAGCTAAAGTAGCCTCGATTGTGGTACTGTTTAGTTATTAATTGGCTCTTATCGTCTATAGTCAGTAAAACATCAAAATATGGAACAGATGTGGTATATTTTTTGATGTCCTTTATTTCGAGTTCACTGGGTATATCGAGTCGACAAATGAATGGAAATAACTGTTGAAGTCCACAGCAAATGTTTTCTTCTTCTCATGTAAAAGTTCTTTGAATAAATTCTGCTTCATCGGAATATAAAAACAGGTCGGCTAATAAAGGAGCTGATTAGGGCTCATGGGAATTCCAACAAATTGTTGGAAGACCAGGTTTTCAAAGAGTACATAGATATTGTCAATAAGGAATTTAAGTCTCAACCTCAGATTACTTATGTGTAGAATCAGAGTGATTTTATACAAAGTAATTTTGTATATGACCAATCACAAGATAAAAAAATTTCCGAGTTCTATTTTTATTGAAAAAGCATTTGTCTATGATATCAGAGTCTAGGTTTTAATTTATCGTGAGGAATGGTTGTATAAAGTTTCGAAAAGGCATAGGTTTTGATGTTGCTGGCTTCTGAAAAGTTTTTTTTTTTATTTTAAATTTTCTAGAAGTTCTTTTGAGTTTTTGAAAATCCAAATTTTATTTACATCGCTTCTTGAATATCTCTGTGAAGTTTCCCCTTCACAGCAATTAAAATTTAAGGTAGGGCAGATCAAATTCATTTTTGTTGACTGGAATGTTAAAAAGTTTAAAAGACTGAAATGTGATTTTGAAGAATTTCATCCTGACGAGGTGACTTTGAGGATAAGCTGATTTCCAGATGAAGAATTAAAACCATGTTCTTCTAATATACAGTTGTGAGATGAACCTTACAAACAAAGCGTGAACCATAACGTATTGTTTATATAGTCTTTCTAATTCTTTTATCACTTCCGATTTAGTGAAAATGGAAAAACATATTGTTCGCATACAGCTTTTTAACTTCTTTTAGTATGTATTTCTAAAAGACAATCCAATCTGACAATTATTTTTCAATTTTACAGATAATGGCAAAGTTATTCCGAATAGTGAAACTGCCCGACAGATTCAATACAGAAGTCTTCACTTTTCAGCTCCCAGCAAAGCTAATTAAAGAGAATGCTCCCTCTTCTTTTTCGAAAGACTTTATCTATGGCTATCAAAAATGGACTGCAAGTTTTGTGAAGAGTGAGCGGCACTTGGGTGCGTTTCTGCGGCTCCAAACAGCGTCTGTTCACGTGGTATGCAAAGTTGACTATGCTTTTACCATGGTAAACACCGAGCATTTCACCAAAAACGAAACCTTCATCGAAAAAGGGTCCGAGTTTACCAAGGAATGCGACACCAGAGGGCGCCAAACTTTTATATCGTTAGAGGACCTAGTGACAAGGACATTTATACAACAAACTGGAGATTTCCTTGTGGAGCTGGAACTGAGACACGTAACTACAGCGATGGAATGCTTCGTCAGAATTCCAAAAGACTACCAGGCACGATACGCAAGTAACATTAAACTTGAAACGCCTTATTTCAGTTTTGGATTATTTGATTGGAGTATTTCACTTTATCCGAACACACCCACCCAAGACACGGAGGGAAATGTAGCAGTTCAACTTCACAGGCACACTAACTTTGACCATTTATGTCGGGTTCAGTATGACATTAGAATTGGTGAAAATCAGGCATTTGAGTCAGGTAACATAGAACAGTGGCTGGACGGAAGTGGGAACGGTGAACCTTACATTATAGGATCCACTATACATATACTATCCAGGGGCCGCTCTACGGTTCGCGTCCGTGTGAACATGTTTTCTGTTGTATCTATCAGCGAAGCAGCACTTCCAGTATTAAACAAGAACCGCAATCGGGTCCACATGTACGATAGGGATAAGCAGGCCTGGATGTTAGAATCTGACATCTCGGGAAAATATCTGGCCTTCAAACTCTACTATACCGACGTGTCACATGTTCCCAGAAAATGCACCCGGCTTGTCAGCTTTGACTTGGCGGTGATATCTATTGACGTTGACCGTCCTACAATCAAAGCTAGTAACGGTCCGTTCAGCCGCTATTATGTACAAGAAGACCTAGACGAAGGATTCAAAATGCACACAAATATCCCGGTTAGAGAGGTAGGTTCGTAAAAAGGCAGCAATTATACATATTCTTTTTGAATGAAATGATCGGGGAATGTAAACCGAGATATGTATATTAAAATTTAATTATTATTTTTAAACTTTTTACGTTAAAGAAGTGTTACGAAATTTTCGTAGGTTTATTCCATGTGTGAATATAAAAATTTAGTGACATTCCATAATATATGTATTATCCTATATTCAAATTATATGTCACTATCATCATTTTGTATTCACCGATTTGGTCCATGGAAAAGCGGGACAGTTCATCCCGAATATCCTCGAGGATCCGACTGTATACTTTGCCTTTCTAGTGTTGTATTATGGTACCATAATTTCGTATTTTGTCTTTAACGGATGTAAATACTTTAATTGATTAAGTAATACCGATTGCGATTGTACACTCAGCTCCAAGTGTTTTAACTCATGGTCCCTTATTCATGCATTAAGCGATTGAGGGGCAATATGAAAACAATTTATCTTTTTTGAATGGAGAAGTGAATCATGATTTAGATGGATTACACGATCAGTATGTACTGGTCCCCGCTGCCAAAGCAGGTAACAACATTGTCTTTGTTTGTAAGGTTCATTATAGAGGAACTGGGATTAAATTCTGCAAGTGGTAAAACAACTTATACCCAAAGCTCCCTTTCTAAGGAGGAAATTCTTTAAAACCATATTTCAGTTGTAAATATTTTTAATATTTCCAACAATCAAAATGAATCTGAATTACAATACCTGTACTGGATTTCGAAACTCAGTAAAAATCCTTTAAAACAGAGATACATAGCGGGTTCCAGTAAATCTTCTACCGAGCCTCTTTCTTTACTCCTCACTAAAATATTAACAGCAGTGAAGGAGAAACTTCGGGAGTACTGTACTACAGTATATTCGAGAAGTAGTGTAAATCATAGTCATTTAAGAACTTAAAGGAACTTTTTAAAAATTTGAAATCACAAAATTTTAACAAAATCAATAACATCAAAACGTACGACTTTTCAACACTTTATATGACCATTCCCCACGAGAAATAAAAGTCCAGGATTTTTGACATCATAGACAGCTTCTTTTGCAATAAAAATAGAACTCGTAAATATACTTACCTTGTCATTGGTCACTTGCAAAATTATTTTGTTTAAAAGCATTCTGACTGTGCACACAAGTACTCTCAGACGTATTTTTGTATTCATATGAAGCAGAATGTATTCGAAAACTTCTACATGAGAAGAAGAAAACACTTGCTGTGGCCTTCAACTCGGCATTATCAGTTAACAATAGTTACTTCCATTCATATGTTGACTCGATATATCACAGTGGGCCTGAAAGAAAGATATCACAGAGTCTGGCACATCTGTTTCATATTTGGATATTTTATTAGAAAAAGACGTTAATGGTAATCTAACAACGTATTATCAATTAACAATAGTTACTTCCATTTATATGTTGACTCGATATATCACAGTGAGCTTGAAATAAAAGATACCATAGAGTCTGACACATGTTTCATATTTGGATATTTTATTAGAAAAAGACATTAATGGTAATCTAACAACAAAGCTTTATGATAAACATGATGACTTTAATTTTTCAATCGTCAACTTCCGTTACTTATGTAGCAATTAGCCTTATCACCTGCATATGGGGTTTTTGTCTTCCAATTAATTCGATATGCAAGAGCATGCTCTAATTGTGAACAATTTCTAAAACGAGACAAGCTATTGGCAAACAAGTTGATGAAACAAGGATATCAACAGTCTCGTTTGAAGTCATCATTTCGCAAGTTTTATGGTCGACATAATGACCTTGTCAGCAAATACAACCTATCATCAAGTCACAACAATCATTAAGTCAAATGCTGACTGACGTTTTTCATACTTATTGTTTGGTCATTATTTACACACTGAATTGTCTACAGATTGTTTCCGTTTTTCCCGATCATGACAAGGTGCACATGGCGAATGTGACCGGTCGGCAGGGGATGCTCACTCCTCCATGGCACCTGATCCCACCTCTGATGTTTTTTAGAGGTCCATGTTTGCTCTACTCCCGACTTCAGCAAGTATGTTCATTCCCAGAATCTATTATACATATTTAAGAATAGAGAGAGATAGACACTCGAATGACTCGAACGAATGAGACTAAAATGTACACTAGGCCACTGCCTGCGAGACAGTGATTTCAATCAAACCCAGAAAAAAAACTCGAGCTTAAAATCCAGTTTAAAAATTGTGTTTTGAAATACAATACACATGTATTACATTAATAAATCTCCTCACAGCCAGTGATAAAAATTCATTTCAATAATGAGTAGTGCTTGTATTTTTGGCTGAAAAAAATCAGAGGAATAAGGGTTTATTCATACAAAAAAGTGCCAAAAGCCAATTAAGTTGCTTAAAGTCTTAAACTAAAAAGTTGAAAGTGAGCGAGTGTACATATCTCAGGAAAATGCGTACAAAATGGGTGTCATGATAATGCTTTTGTTGATGTTTCCAAATAATGGTTATTAGACATGAATCCTTACTTCCCATAGATATACAACGTGGACAGTGGTATAAGTATAGACCAGAAAGTTTACTCAAACTTCAAGCTCCCTAAAGACGTTGACTCCTAGGTTTATGTAATACGATCACGAGGTTAACATATCTGGTATTTTAAAGGTGGAAAGACTTCATTTTAAAACAAGTATTTTTTTTTATTTCTTGCGTCTTTTCAACTAGTTTTTGGATATCGTCAAATATGAAGATGCTTTTGGGTTTGCATAAAATCGATCTGAACAATGCGCAGTTCTCATGCGTGGTTATAATGGGGGATCGACGATTGTCTGCAGGATGAGCAGGCGCTAATTGTTCATAAAAGGAGAGAAATGAAACCGTATTAGCTTTCAAAATTTCAAGGAAAAAACTTCGATGATTTATGGAAGGAATGCTATTCTGTAACTGTTTTAAAAACTCTGAGATAAAATGTTAAAAGACTTTGTAGAAATCCGTCATCTTGTGCCACTGCCAATTTTAGTCCCGTAAAACACGGATAACTAAAGCTGTAGTAATAGAAAATACAGAAAACTAAAGCTTTCGTAATATTTGTTGTCTGAATTGGACTAACTATAATAAAGCATAGGATTGAACAGTAACAAATTGCTTATCCTTTGCATGCAACAAAATTTATAATTTTAAATTATAATTATTTGTCTCATTAACTGACTGATTGATTGATTGATTACTGTTTAGCGCTGAGTTGGCAATATTTCAGCCATCTTTCGGCGGATTGTCTGAAAGAAAGCTAATTCCAGTTTAATGAGACTGATTGTTTGCAAGTATTTTTTATCTTTTAATAAATTTTATATAGAGGTTATTGTTTTGAAGGGATAGTTGCATTTTGAGCATTATTTTGACAAGTGAGAAAAGATTTTTGGAAATGGCCCAAAATCTGTGATTGTTGAAGGTCCTGTCTTCCGTATTCTCTATGCCGTTTACAGTAAAGCTAACAAGTTATTTGCCAAGTGACAACGTCCGTTACTATAACAGCTCCCCGGCGGGCCCGGATGTAAGGAGGTAATTTGAGACAACATCTCCCGTCTATTATCCCCGAATTAAGCATCCGATTTCTACGTATTTAGTATAATGAGTAATAAGACCCATGGGTCCTAAAACTTTTGTTCTTACAACATTCAATTTGCTTTCCCATTATGGGAAATGATCCGTATGTCGAATCTCATCGCGTTTAAGCCAATGCGGCGCGTGTTTTAATCTGCGAGAAGTCCTTGTTATGTGCATCAATTGCACTCTTTCAGGCAATCATGTCCTTTCTTTCGTCGAGAGAGACATATTGTTTTACCCTTAATTCTTATTCGTGCATTTCTTTCACGTAGTGTCTTCATATAGAACTTGTCCGGATAAGAATCTTTTGAAGGAATAAATTCACGTAATCTTGCATTTAGTATATGACTATTTCACTTTAATATGCCTGTGTCTCTTACTACAATAATATAATACGGTAAGCTTCTATATCTTAGAACTAAATAAAAACTCCATAACTAAACGTTGAAGAGGTTAAATTAACATTCAAGTATTTGTTCGATATGAAAAGACGAAGAAAAAAGAAGTGACCAATCTAAGAAGCTCTGTAATCAACACGAATCATGAACAGGAAAAAACATACAACACTGGAAACACCAGAGGTGGGGTCAGGTGCCTATGAGGAGTAAGCATCTCCTTTCGACTAGTATCGCTCGCGATGAACCTCCCGTCTTGATTATGTAAACACAGTATTAAGTAGTCAAAATTAGTATAATAAAACAATGGCATAAGAATTTGAATGAAAGAAATGTAAAAATTCAACCTCATGATAGGCTGTATTTGAAACAAGGGCGTCATAACCACCATAGAATTTGCGAAATGCTGACTTAAAACGAGACTGTTGAAAGTCCTGCTACATCAACTCATTTGTCAACAGCTTGCCTCGGTTTAAATATTGATCGTTCTCAGAACAAATTAGTTGGAAGACATTAATACCATAAACATCATTTTAGTAGTAAAATATTATAACTATTAGAAATAAATAGGGGAGGATGACGATGGGAAAAATAAATTCATCCAGTGTGTCACACAATGAATCTCTTGAAATAGGTGAATATAACGAACTGATCTATCCCAGATCACAAAACTACAAACAATACAAATCTGTGAACAGAACAAGGCATAAAAAACATCCCCCTAGAAATTCTAAAGGTTGGATCTAGGAGGTGTACGAATCCCTGTCGACCAGGGATCCGATGAAATATATCAGTCAAAATACGACCCAATGACAGTTTGGATTTGCTAGCAAGAGCATTATTAGTTAGATTATTATCGTCTGTTGTCAGTAAAACATCCAGATATGATAGAGATATGGCAGACTCTGAGTGTCTTTTATTTCGAATTCATTGGGATATGTCGAGTTGACATTTGAATGATAGTAACTATTGTTAATTTATAAAACGTCGTCGATTTATCCGAGTTGAATATCAACCACAGAGTACCTACGTGAAAAATCAGGGTGATTTTTAACATACAAAGTATAATTTTGTAGATAACTAATTACAAGATACGAAAAATTCTGAGTTCCATTTTTATTGAAAAAGAAGTTGTATATGATATCAACAAACCTAGTTAACCCACCTGTGTCGAAGGCTCTCATGAGCTTTTCTGATCGAAGGTACGTATACAGCAACCGTCCGTCGTGTGTCGTCTGAAAACTTTTCACAATTTTCGACTTCTACTCTAGAACCACTGAGCCAATTTCAACCAAAATTGCTACAAAGCATCCTTGGGTGAAGGGGGATTTAAGTTTCTTTAAAAGAAGGATCATGCCTCTTGCAAGGGGAGATGATTGGAAATTAGCGAAAATTTAATGGTATCTTCTACAAATCTTCTCAATGACTACTGGGCCAGAAAAAAATTATATTTATGTGTAAGCTTCATAACATAGTAAACATTCAAGTTTGTTCAAACCATGACCCCGGGGCAAGGGCGGGGCCATAAATGGTGATTAAAGTTTTACATAGGAATATACAGGGAAAATCTTTAAAAATCTCCTAGTGCTGAACAGCAAAACCATGATTTGTCATATATGGAAACATCTTCACCTGAATATGCCTAGTTGTTTAAACATAATACAACAATTGTGTTTGAATTTAACCGCTGCTGTTTAATTCCTAGTTTGGAATAAACTCAAATAAATTCAAATTTTGATAATTGGTTAAATCTAGACCTATTTTAAGAGCCATTCCCTGTAGTTACTTTAACTCTTATATTATAAGAGACATGGCACGTATTATTACAAAGTTTCTTCAAACTTGCTATTGCACAATTGCCTGAGCATAGCTGTTGATTTCTGGCTTACATATGAAGTAGTAGATTCCCTAGAGACTACAGCCAGCAATAAATTATTCTCAGTCATGATTTCTTGTACAATTAAGCAGCAATACTAACAGCTCGTTTTTTTTTTCAAAATAAAGTTTTGTTTACTCAAATACTTGGCCCATTGAAGAAACATTCCACGTTCTTTTTTTTCTTCTTTTTCTCCAAATTTTAGACATTTTGGCAGAGCGTATCCATCTTTTAAAACATAGGATGATTAAAAAATTGTGAAAATATTACGGTATTGGGTAGTAATTTTGTCATCTAGGTTTCATTGAACAAGACGACCCTTTTCTGTCTTCTCCAGAACAACAAATCTCCAGAACAACAAATTTACTGTTGGACAATTTAAAGTCTTCATTTTCTTCTTTTTTTTTTTTTTACTGCTGGACAAATTTAAAATATTCAAGTTTTTTTTTTACTGCTGGACAAATTTAAAATATGTTTTATTTGTGTTCATATCATTATGATTCATACCATGATCCCTATGGCTTGAACAAAGCTTTAGCATTACTAAAGCCTTTAAAATGTGAATCACAAAGGCTGGTCAATGTTTATTCACGTTACCAAGATAAAAGTTTGCTACAATGGAGCAACAACGCTGTCTAATTTTATCGTAACTTTATTAGTGATATTAATTTTATGACACCTACTCTTATGATCTACAAGCATCCTTTAAAACTGAACTTCAAAAGTCTTAAACCTGACCATATTTCTTGGTTCAAACAACTGAAAAGGAATTCTATTTAATGTTTCCAGCTTTAACTAACTACGTTTTGCCATCTGTGAGTGGCAGTTTTATTTACAATGTTATTAATTTTTAATGTTTCAGCTTCAAGATCCTCGGTGCGAGTTTCTCTCTGCAGAGGATCAGAAAGTGACGGTCCATATCCATTGGATAGATTCTCATCTCTTGACCACGCCCACTTACCACAGCCTAGATGACGTAAGCAGATTACACAAACACCAAATGATGTAAGTAATGAAGCAATAAAGATCTGGGGCTAAAATGCTATTGATGAAGCTTCAAGTAAAATATTGATATACATGCAGCTGATTGTTACATAATGTAGAGGATTGAATAACTAGAGACGTGGAATATCACACGATATATAAACCAATATATTCATCTTCGGTGAATGTTTCAATCAGTCCCACTGCCGACACAAATCGTGTATGTTCGTGAGATAAAACAGATTGATGAGCCTGCGGAAGTTCAAGAAATCCCAGCCCTGTTTCCAGGATTCGATGTCAAGTCGATCATGCTTACACTATTGATTAGGAGCAGGGTATACTGGACGTGTATTATTAATTGAAATACCAGACATGCATTTTTACTCGCTTTCTGGTCGTCGCATCATACACTGACAATCACTGTCATAATTACCTGGTATAATTAGCACGAAAATAAGACTGCTCCGTGCAAATCCCAGGCAGAAAAGGGAGAAACTCGAACACAATCACTGAAAATATTTAAGAAACGCTAAATCTGCAATTTTTACTTGAATAATGGAGGGGTAAGGGGTATTCATATTGATTTTGCAGATCTAGTCTTTTATTTTTTTTTAACTCCCTTCTTTATGTAAAGTTTGCAGATATAACGTTTCTTTAATTTTTAACCCATTTCAAATCAATTAACAGACTATCATTCAGTAGGATTACAAAATTAAAGAACCTCTAGATCTTGAAGCAATACACGAAAGTATTACAAAATTAGATAAACTTTTATGAAAGTACTAGTAACTTCACTATAGGGAAAGAGAATTATGCATATTCATTTATCAAAAATTTGAAGAACAGTTGTCTGTAACAGATAGGGCTGTTTTTCAATGATATTTGATTTTACATGCAACCTCTGTTTACATTTCTGGGATAACTCTTGTTTGTTGAAGTGTCCCAACCAGAAGGTTACAATACATTTGCAAATTTTTTCTCGATGATAATTACCTTTTCACGTAACACTAATATTAGCTTCTTGGCACGTTATTAAAGACCACGTTGTAATTCCAATTTGTTTAATGCACCACCTGAAAATAATATCCTTAAAATAGATTTCTAAATCAATAAAAGAACTTTCATTAGATTAAGGAGTCCCACATATTACTTTACATGCAGTGAAATTTGTTAAATTAATTGTTCCATTTGGGTGCATGGATTTTATTCTTTTACTTTTGCAAAGACAAGCGATTTTTTAAGAAATGAGGGATTAACGTATATATCTTTTTTTAAGAATGTTGTGATTCAAACAGAATTTCCCATACTGAAAGTTTGATTTGACGTAATTAGACCTAGGGTGTCCCCATTTCCAAACTACATCTCCACAGACCCTATCGACCTATCGTCTAAAACAATCTGGATTGAATCATTAGTTCTGATGAATCGTATACGATTGTGATGACATTATATAAACAGTCGAGAGCTCTATGCTAATATTCCCTAGGTGCTGTCCATTGTGGGTTATAGAGAGGTTGTAGGTCAGACCTAGGTCATATTAGTATATCAAATTAGAGTACTTGTATAATGATTGAACGAAGATGGGGTCATGAAAACAATGTCTACTATATCGATGAATAAAAAAAATAGGCGACACCTTAAGAAGATTCAGTATAGATCTACATTACATGGATTCCATGCCCATGCACTGTCTATTGTTGCTCTTTCATTGAAATTAAACTTACTAACTCTATTTGACATGAAAGTTTGAAGTGGTACCTCAATGCAAAACTTAAGGACATAGAATGCTTAATAATATATGCTATAGAAATTTTCAAAACAGTTTGTACATGGAGGTTTTATTATCTTTAAAACACATGTATTTTTACATGCAAAAAAATGTAAAAATTGAAATTACTCCAAAGTAAAAATAAAATTGTATGTTTGAAATTTGCCTACATGTATGCATTTGATACTCACCTTACAACTGGTATCATAATGCAAAACTGCAGTAAATTGTTAGATAGCTAGTATCTTAGTGTCATGTGTACATATACTAATATTTGAAATCGAGATGATGTGTGGTATCCAAATTTCAATCATCCGTGTATTCGAAATCAACGTGTGAAGTGGTCAAATTGATGTGTATTTGAAATCGACGGGACAACTGGTAAAATAGGCTTTTTCAACTTTAAAGTTGGTCATTCCATTCCAAATTTAATCTTGGCTTTTCCAACTTTAATTTCAGTTCTTTTAGCCCTTTTCCGTAGCTTTTTTTCTCTCTATTTTAAATTTATTTTCTTTTAAAAATAAAACATAAATACATTATTTTAAATTTTTTTTGTTACAATATAACAAGAATACCTTAGGAGAAATAAAAAGTAATTGTATTTGATGCAATAAGAAAAAAAGAATATTTTAAAAGTTTTAAATGCTCCAAGAAGAGTAAAAAAACAGTAAGTCTTGAGGATAAAAAAAAATTTAGTGAATATCTGCAGTTTAAAAATAAAAGTATGCATAATGGTACCGGTCCACCTTATACGCAAGCTTTATACAGGGAGTAATTTAAAAACGTTCACAATGTACCACAATATTTTGCGTACTTGGAATATACAGTTTCTACTAGAGACACACTTTCCTTGTAAAGTCCCTAACAGGTAGAGTCTCACGATATGGAATCGTTACTATGGCGATCCAGGACTTTATGTAATTAACGTTACAAATTCAGAAATTTTGAATTATTAAACAAGTGGAACTTTGATAAATAACACTTCACTGTTTGTTTTTCTGGTCCCCTGGAGTACAGCAAGCTTCAATACGTGTTTTCCTTTTTTCGATATTCACATTAAAATCAACCGCTCCAAAGGCAAACTAATTTCTTTGAAAAAGCAAAACGAACAATGTCGATAATTTGGTTACTCCCGCCATATCTTTTACTGTTTTCACTTAGCATTTTGATTGTCTTTGCTGTATTGAGTGATGAGAAGAGAGTTATTTCAGAAAGTAACAATTTAGTTCAGAGTACTCTCTCTAATCATCGAGAACCCTTAATTAAGATCCCAGCTTCAAAGACGTAATCAATTGTAACTTTTCTGTTTAGAAGAGTTATTACATTCAGCAGAAATCTTAGAGATCACATGTACTTTTTCCAGATTTTTTTTCTTCCATTCTGTCTACTTTTGTTGCATTGAAAAAACAACTATTCTAGTTCTGTTCGTAATCGAATGTGGCAAATAATGCATATTTTCGTTGCATTATTGAAGTAATGGACATGTTTTTGGCAAACTGTTATCAACTGTTTGTTAAATTATGAATCACTTTGAATGTTCTGCAAATATGCAAATGAAAATCAACCAAAGAAGAATATCCAGGGAATTGCTATTGTTAAGAAAATAGTTCTTCGAAAAGTTAATTGAATTTATTGATCAGTTAATAATGATTTCTGTCATACATAATAAATATAAATTTCTAAATTATTAAGAATAATAATTTATTTTGCATTCTTTCTTTTCCTTAAATATAAAGAATAACTGATAATTAACCTTTCATTTGGTGGGAAAAAATACTGCTATAAATACTTGATCATACTTCACAACCTTCCCGTACTTCCGTCGTTTATTAATTTTCAATCTGAAGTTGAAATGATTACATGACAGGCGAAGAGGAAACCTATATCCCCCTTCGGTTTCAAAAGTGGGGGAGTCGACAAACACAGCTGTGGACTAATCAACGACAATGCTCCGCTTTAATGACATAAGTTGTACAAGTTTATTAGAAAAAAACTAATTATCATACACAGGTTTTGTTCAATAGAACAAATGTCAAAATAGCCGTATATGCCTTCCTTAACTAACTTGGAATACCTGATTTACAATCAAAATCAAAAATTCGAATAGAAGTCTTAAATTTCCCGAAAAGTAATTTATTTCAATGACCAAATTAATTTCAATGACCAAGTACATGTATGCATCCTTTAAACGAAAGAAATCACAAATATTTTGAATCTGAAAAAAATGTACTTGGTCATCGAAATGAATGTTCGCAAATTTAAGGTTTCCAATTGAATTTTAGATTTTGATTATAGAGGACGTATTTCAAATCGGTTTAGAAAGTCTTAGGAGATGAAATATTAAAGGTGGAAACAAAAAAAATAATATATTGTGACTTTTCGTTTTTAGCTCACCTGAGCCGAAGGCTCAAGTGAGCTTTTCTGATCAAAGAGTGTCCGGCGTCCGTGTGTCAACATTTCACATTTTCGACTACTTCTCAGGAACCACTGGGCCAATTTCAACCAAACTTGCCACAAAGCATTCTTGGGTGAAGGGGATTCAAGTTTGTTCACAGGAAGCGCTGCGCCCTCTTTCAAGGGGAGATAATTAAGAATTCGTGAAAATTTGGTGGCATCGTTTAAAAATCTTCTTCTCAAGAACCACTAGCAAGAAAAAATGGAACTTACTTGAAAGCTTCAATACATACTCTAAATTCAAATTTGTTTATATCATAACCCCCGTGGGTAGGGCGGGGCCACAAGAGGGGGTCAAAGTTTTACATAGGAATATATAAGAAATATCTGTAAAAAATCTTCTTCCCAAGAACAGCAAAGCCATGATTTGTCATATTATTACAGAAGTATCCTCAGGTAGCATAGATTCAAGTTTGTTACAACCATGACCCCTGGGGGTGGGGCAGGGCCACAATAGAGGGTTCAAAGCTTACCATAGTAATATATAAGAAATGTCTTTAAAAAAATCTTCTTCTCAAGAACAGCAAAGCCATGATTAGTCATATTATTACGGAAGTATTCTCAGGTAGTGTAGATTCAAGTTTGTTCCAACCATGACCCCTGGGGTGGAACAGGGCCACAACAGGGGGGGGGGGGGGTTCAAAGTTTACCATAGGAATATATAGGAAATATCTTTAAAAATCTTCTTCTCAAGAACAGCTAAGGCATTACCAGACACATTCATACAGAAGTGTCCTCAGGTAGTGTAGATTAAAGTTCCATTCATGACCCTTGGGGGTAGGGCAGGGCCACAACAGGTGGAAGGGTCAAAGTTTACTATAGGAATATATAGGAAATATCTTTTAAAAATCTTCTTCTCAAGAACAGCTAAGCCATTATTAGACATATTCATAAGAAGTATCCTCAGGTAGTGTAGATTAAAGTTCAAATCATGACCCCTGGGGGTAAGGCGGAGCCACAACAGTGGGTCAAGGTTTACATATGAATATATATGTGTAATGGTTAAGGGACATCGGAGTAAAACGCATTGAAGACTTCAAATAGTGGAATGACCTGACAACCCTTGAAATGGGCTAGACTTAGGGTATTTAAGGAAGCTCTAAACACTGCAATTATTTAACTAAAGAGTTCTATTTGTAAGGTAGTTTTATTTAGATGGAGTGATCTGCCCTTAGAAGAAAAATATAATAAACTATAATCTGCTGTTAATGACGCAATTTGTAATGAATAAAAGTATTCTTAACGTTGTACTAGACCAAGATTAAGTAATTGAATTTATTATTTCCATTAATTTTTCCACTGTAAGTGAACAAAAGTGATTTCTGTTTACAAATAGTTCATCATCTTTTAACATTTTTCCTGGAGAAATAAGGCAGGCACCCTATGTTGAAAATGAAATAGATACACTAAATATGAGCAGCTTTATATGATGCATTTTTCTCAAAGTCCAAAAAGCAATTTTTCATTAGTGTTAAGAGCTTCCTTAAGGCAAAGCTTTGAGAAAGTCAATCATTCAGAAGTAGATGAAAAAGTTGGACGATGAATCAGCAATAAAGAAGTTAAGGTATTCCATCCTAATAGCAAAAGATTCAATGAAATTGAATACATAACAGATGTGTAGGTGTTGAATATTCAGTATATTTTAGGAATGACTCTAATTCTTGGCCAAATTATTCGAGTATAACCTGGTTTGGGTCAGTTTACGCTTTATAATCCGCGAAGCAATGATGGCAAATCATCTGAACTTTATGCGTTTTTTTTTTATTTTGCCGTCGTCACTTCCGGTCACGAGTTACAGCCAAATTTCCATTTTTAAAGTGGCATTTTGTCCGCGAGTGTTCTCAAAAACGGTTTGAGATTGAGTCTTGAAACTTTCAGGGATGATAGATTGTGACTCGTAGATCTGAGAAACCTGTTTTGTTTTTGTTTAAAAAGTAGTTTAAAAATATGCAATTTTTTTCTTTTGAAATGTTTATAATAGAGGCAAATAGATTGTTTCGAATCATATTATTTCCACCGGAAGTGATTTCTTCCAAACCGGAAGTAGTCGAAAAAATGCTCATTTTTCCTCGAAACTTTGAGGGATGATTCCTCCACACTCAGTGAGGAGTTAAAAGTCATTTTGAGCACTTCCGGTCATACCGGAAGTGAATGAAAAAGACTGGAAGTTGTTTGAAATTGATAGATTTCACTCTTTAATGTGTTGCTAAACATATTTTGAAGAATTGACATGAATATTTTTTTTTCATTTAAAGATTTTTTACTTTCTTTTATCAATCAAAATTTCCTAATCAAGATCTTATCAGAAATCTAACGGAAGACCTACTCGTTGCGAGCAACGAGATTTTATCTAGTTGATATTCTTATTATTTGAATTTTTATTTTTAAAAAATTTCTCCCTAGACATCAATGCAATCTTTTTTAAGTACATGCAGGCCCGTAGGAAGCAATTTCAGTTGGGGGGAGGGGCACAGCAAAACATTTTCAGTCGGGGGGGGGGGGGGCACTATCAACTACCAAAATTCCTTGACAAGCAAAAAAAAAAAGGTCATCAGCCGTTTTTATTGAGGGGGCACAAGCATATAGTAACTAAGTTTTCTATAGTATTCTATATATTGGCAAAATTATTGGGGGGGGGCACGGCCCCCCGTGCCCCCCCCCCCCGGTTCCTTCGGCCATGACATGTACTTACGTTCTCGATGTAGTAAATCTGAAGAAGACTGAGACAACTGGTTCTTATCTATCAATGGGAACCTAGGGGGTGGGAATGGGAATCAAGTTTATTTAAATCATGACCCCCCAGGGGTTGGGGCACAACAGAGGGTCAAAGTTTTGCATAAGAATATATAGGAATCATCTTGAAAAAATCTGCTGCTCAAGAACAGCAAAGCCATGATTAGTCATATTATTATAGGAGCATCCACAGGTAGTGTAGATTCAAATTTGTTCAAATTTACGGTTGGTAGGGTGGGACCACAATGACCAATCATAGTTTTACACAGAATACATGGGGGAAAAAATCTTTAAATTTTTTCTGTTAAAGAACAGCAAAGCCATGATTAGTAATATTGATAAAGAAGCATCCTGAGCTAGTGTAAATTTAAGTTTGCCCCCCTTAAAACTTTTCAAAATACTGAACTGATTTCTGCTTCTTCCTAGCCAGTGTGCTCAGGTGAGCGATGCCGCCGATGGGGCCTCTTGTCTTGAAAAAGTTGTCTATACTACAACATACTTGAGCTGCGTAAAAAAAAATAAAGAAATGAAAACAGTGAATAATTAATAATTCTCAAAAACTAAGGGCAATAACTTTTGTGAAAATGTGTCAATCGACAGGTAACTCAAACTTGATGCGTGCGTCAATAATATAAAGCAAATAAGGCCATCTTTAAAAAAATGTTTGTTTGCCCTCTTCCGACCGGCTGCCTAAAATCAGGGTGCGACTAAAAACTTTTTTAACCTCCAGGAAACGATCATTTCTTTTTCTTTTTATTCCTGGATGTTGTCATCCTGACAATATGTATTTTGAAATTTTCTAGGAAAAAAAATTCCACACCTAACTACCGACCCAATATTTTTACCCTGAGTCGGGAGAGGGCAAACAAACATTATTTTAAATATGGCCTTATCTACAACCATAAGAAAAAAGCATAGAAAACAGTGAAAAAATATAAAGTTTCAACGTCAAGGGGCAATAACTTTCATGAACATGGGTCAAGTGACTTTAAACTTAAACGTGATAAAGTCATCAATATAAAGAGATATACCAAAAATCAGCTAAGCACAGCAAAAAACAAGTCCTTATAACAGTGAAAAATTATAAACTTTCAAAGTCTTTGGAAGGCTTTCTTGAATATGGATCAATCGACGTGAAACTTGGTCAATTTGTAAGTCGTCAATATAATGACACGTATCAGAAATCAGTTTATTATCTGAGCAGCAAAACTAAGCCAGGGAAAATAAGAAAAAATAAATATACATGTATATAAAAAGTGAAAAATAAGAATTTGCAATGTCGAAGGGTAGTAACTTTATTAAAATTGGTCAATCAACATGAAACCTTGAACTTTTCCTGTGAGTCATCAATATAAAGACGTACATGTATACCAATAATCAACTCATTATTTGAGAGCATAGCCAATTCCGGACTATGACGGAATGACAATTATGGATAACAATATACGCCCCACCATTTCATGGAGGGGGAATAAAAATTAAGTGGGTCATCGTTATACTTTCAGGATTGTCATTATAAATATGACTTTTTTTTCTGTTTTGGTCTCAGGTTGCATGCATGGTATCCGTGATTCAAACGCCAGCAGGCCAAAGCTAAGTTCTCAATATGTATTCGTTAAATAAAAACATTCTTGACTCGAGCAGTCATCAGTGTCCTGCAAGCACTTGTCGCGACCTTCACCTTCGTGTGTTTTTCACCTGGAGTGGGCGGGGCCTAAGTTGGTTATTCATGCGCAGTAACCAGAAAATTTCGAATTTGCGATTAAACGAACTTGGTCAGTGAACCGGGTATCATCAAAACCTTATCCTTTTGAAAAGTACTCTATTCTTTTAGAAAAAAATTGCAGATAGTGAATTTGATACATTTTTTCGTGATTTCTGCACCCGTATTTGAATGGTTGACAGGACATACCCCTGACAATCCATTATAATCATTTCCACGTATTCTAATCAATCAGTGGCATTTTTTTTATGATTTTTAATCTTTCAAGAATGCGTGCGGCGGATGATATGTTAAAACTTTAGGACTACAATTACTTAACGACTACAAACATCAAGAAAAGAACTTTATCATTAGGGTCATAACATAGTTCACATTTTTAAAGCGGCAAAATGCATAATGGAATCAATTGCAAATCGTCTTTAATGTACGATCAGTTCTTTTCTTCTTAATTCTTTTGTTTCCCCATTTCTCTTTTTCTCAAATATATCAAGTTTTTACATGTCTTGCAGACACGTAACCCACTTCCTTAAACTTTTAGTTGAAGTAATTAGTTTCTTCATTTGCATGAATCTTCTTTCAAACAATAGTCAACCTCATTTATACTATACATGTATCAGTATTACTCACAGATACATGTATAAATGTAATGACAGTATGTACATGTACTGATTTACTTATCTTTTTTAGGCGAGAGATTATGGCCCTGCAGGCTGAGAACTATGCCCTAGAAAAACAATTGTACAGCTACCAGAAATCCATCGCCCGGACAAGCTCCAGGGGACTGTCCGAATCCGACGACAACCCTAAAGACAGGAACCACTATCTATAGAAAATACAATATCCGTGGAATCTAATTTCTAACGAAACTGTTTTCAATGGGAAACGTAATCTCCGAATGAGTCCGGATATTATCAAGTGACAAGATAATCGAACCATGCTGTAAATCAATGAATTTTATTTTGGAATCTTTTTTATTGTTGTCATTATTCACTATGAATAATTGGAAATACTGGTGGTAATTTGTTCGGCACTTTTACATGATTGTTAGTTGTTTGACATTGAAACAAAATTCATCATTTAATATTTGTCACATAATTTGCACGTCTTATAACAAGAATAAATGTTTTTTCATCATATTGCACTGCAGAAAGAGTCAGAGAAAATTATCTGTTCAATTATTCGTCCCTTCATTTGCCGACATTGATGAATGATAACCTCTACAACGATGCCAGTCTCGCAGTGGAAGCACATCGACTTTTATCTCTATGATATGTGCTTAAGGTTTTCATCAAATTCATCAGAGGATATAAATACCCTCAGTAGGTCATATTTGAACTGGAGAGAAAAATAAAATAAGGCCAAGGTCAAAAGGAACCTATTTCCTAACAAAATCTTTTCTAAGAAGATTATTTATTTATTTAAGAAATTTCTTAATGAGCCTGGGAGCCCGGATATTATTTAGTGAAAATATAATCGATCTATGATATAATCAATGCATTTTGAAAGCATAATTTATAGCTCACGGTTGAATGCATTTTCACAATGTCAAGGCTTTGTTCCTTTACAAAAACGTTTGTATGATGGAAAGATATCAAAATACCTTGCAATTGAGATTGCAAAAATGGGCTCACGTCAGCTTTTCTGATCAAAATTTGTCCATTGTCTGTCGTCGTTGTAAAATTTTAACATTTTCGTTTTCGTCTCCTGAAGATATATTAAGATGTAAGCATCCTCAGGAAATAGGGATCCAAAGTTTTGTATGGGAATATACAGGGGAAAAATCTTAACAAGAGGCAAAAGGACTTAATCGATCGTCAGCTGAGTATAATACAACCCTGTAAAAGATCCACAGAATGGCAATTTAATAGGTATATAATAAAACAAATTAAAATGATAGATGAAGATACATGTCCAAAAAACAAGAGAAATATGACGAGCAGGGATCAACTAAATAGCGTGGTATTCAACAAAAATTAGTAGAGTAAAACGTTTGACTTGCCTGTATGTGACAGTACACTCTCATTAGTCAATAACCAAACTAAACAACACAATAACATTATATATTCATAATTAACACACACCCTGTAACTTTGGCTTCTCTTAGTCTTTGAAAAAACATTTAATGTACAAATATAAACAGGTATTAAAAAGCCTACATGACCATTAAAAACTACGAAAGCACTTTTTGTATAATACATTTGAATTCTTGTATAATTCTTTCATTCGATTGATCTCTCAATTACAATTACATTTACTAGTGTCATAGATGAATAGCAAAGGGGAATACATTATCTCAGATTACAAATGTCCCTACATGATCAATATGCCTGCCCAGCAGCGGAACCCTTGACCCATTGACCAAGAATTTCACAAAATCTGATAAAAACGCCCTAGCTCATTACAATTTTGAACTCTGTTTGCCTCCTAGATGCCCAGAAGAAAAGATTTTTCATATAATTCATGCATTTCTCTAAATAATCAAAAGAGTCCCATCCTAACTCCAAATCCCTGACCCTGCATCCATGAATTTCACAATTTTGGAAGACACACCCTTGGTCTTCAGAACCATGATTTTAGTTTGTCTGTTCAGCTCCCAGGAGGAGAAAAGATTTTCAAAGAATGAATACATTTTCACTTTCTGAGCAAAAGAGCCTCACCCTAGCGCGAACTGCTAACCTTGAATTTTAATTATTTCATCAATTTAGGTAGAGGGCTCAATGCTTATTATAATCATGCCAACAGTTTGACTGCTTGAGGCCCACTTTGAAGATTGCATTGATTTTTATGGTTTTTGGCCCCATCCCTCAGGCCCCTAGTAGCAGAGATTATGAAATTTATAATTTTTGTTTCCCTTTCCCGGCCGATATATTGGTTGAAATGGGTTCACCCATTCTTGAGAAGATGCTAAAAATGTTTAAAAGTTTACAACTGCCGCAAGACGCACGACAACGGACAAAAACAGGTAGCAATAGGTCATCTGAGTGACTCGGGTGATCTTAGATATTTCCAAGAAGAACAGGGTCATGATTAGTGACATTTATATACAATCATCATCAGGTAGTGCAGATTCATTTTGATTTTCAAAAACTGATTGATTGTATGTTGTTTTACGTCCCGTTAGAGAATTTTTCACTCATATAGAGACGTCACCATATACCGGTGAAGGGCTTCAAAGAGGGTGTTGCAGTTCTTTTGTTATTTTCCCTAAAGTTGTAGCAGTTTAAAAGAAAAATTTTAAGTAACAGAAAACGGTCTTAATTTTTTTCAGATACAACGGTATATACGGCACAATGTAGAACAATATTTAGAAACTGCATATCGACTCCCAATTTGCCATTAAATGAAGTGTAAATTAGTCACATAGTAAAATAAGTCAAGTTTTTTGTTGTTCAAATAGGGAATCCCCATTGTTCTGAAAAATTGCCTCCTTGAAACAGAATGAATTTGATATACGCATTAAGAGACAAGATTTTTCTTCAAAACTGCCATTTCTGATTTTTGTTTCAAAGAGGCATTTTTTTGAAAATCAAAAAAATCGAATAAAAATTATTATCCATCCGAAATGCAAAATGTGCACATAAAATAGCACATGATATTTTACTCTCGGAGCTGGTCTAGTGGTAAAGCGTGTGGACTCTGTGCAAAAATTCTTTTTCCTGAGAATGGGTTCGAATCCGGGAATGGCTGATATATATACACATAGTTTTTTTCTTATATAAAATTTTAGTACAATGTAGCATCTCTCTTGAAAGAGAGAGGGAGAGAATGTCAGAAAGTTAATGGGTAATATTTTAAATGCATGCAGAATTAAATTGTTTTCCTTGATATTGTGATCTAAAACTAATAAGACATATATTTAATGTTATTATTTAGTGGCGATGTTTTAAAAAATAAAGTACTATCATTTTAAATAATTTAATTTTTTCATACGTATTTTGTTTCATTATTGTTCTGTTAATTATGGCTCAGATTTGACTTGAAACAACTAAATTGAAATGACTCAATGGAATTTCTTGGGTATTCCATCAACAGCGTGATTATTGGACACATTTTTATAGATTGAAAAATATTGATGCACACTGTCTACAGTACATCTTTCAAAAAGGCGTGCGAGATGCACTTGCGATTAATTGTGTTTTTTATCGTTCTAACTTTTCTCGTGCAATATGGCGACAGTGACCATAGATGTGAAAAAACGTCTACTTGCAGGTCTCCAGTCTATGTTAGGAAAAACTATGCATGAAATAAACGTAAAATGTGAAATGTTTTGTTATAACAAGCTGGACATACCCGTCCTATAAATAAAGTCATCTACGTAGCATTATCTATATTTAGAGATAACTCTTCATGCGTCGTGGGTATTTAAATGTCCTTCTCGATTTAGGGAATAATCGCGAGTTTCTGCAACACCCTCTTTAGACCTTTACTCGGCACTCAGGGCCATTGAGCAGTGAGGATTCTTTATTGTCCCAACGCCTACCGTGACACGGGGCCTTGGTTTTTAAGGTCTCATCCGAATGACCTGCAATTTTCACTTCAAAGTGCCGAGCGCTTGGCGAGGAACTGTCAGTTGCTACCTATTTTTATCGACTGAGGTCAGTCGCGGCCGTGATTCGAACACACGATCTTCCGATCACGGAAAGGGCGCTCTACCCACTGAGCGATTTTCAAAGAGGAGTAGTGATTTAACAGGATATTAATATTGATTTTTTGTTTTAATTTTTTTCCTTAAAAAGAGCAAACACGGATCTCTAAAAACGTCAGAAGTGGGATCAGGTTCCAAGGAGGAGTACGCATCCCCTCTCGACCGGTTTCACCCGCCGTGTGCCCCTTGCCATAATCGGAAAAATCCGTAAATAATTCAGTGTAAAATAATGGCCTAACAATTTGTATGAAAAACGTCAAATTTCGACTTAAAGGGACCTGGACACAGCTGCATTGCTGTTCTGTTAGAATTCAGAATTTCAATTAAAAAAAAATATCTTCAGTTTAATAAATTGAACTTACATAAATTCTTAAAAATTACAGAGAGTGACATTGTTCATATCATCACGTCAAATATCTGACAGGTGTTTGTAAACATGGGCACGAGCTCTGTTACTGTTAATGTTTACGATTTACTGGGTGTGTTCAATTTGTTTTTCTCTGCACACATCACTGAGCACGGACTGACAATACCAGTCAGTTGATTTTGGTTTCTCACATTTCTACTTTGAATAATCTAGATTATAGTTTTAATTAGGGATGTCAACGAATATTCGATTATTCGAATATTCATTCGATGAGTTGATATTCGAATAAGAATTTACGATTCGAATATTCGTTTTTTCCAGATTTCACAAAAAAGAGATAACTATGATTAATTTCGAGGACAACAAAATGAAACCCTTCTTTGTACATCTAAAAGATGTGAAGAGTTTACTTGACAAAATAAATTCACTGATCATTTAATTAATTGTCTGTAATACCGTAAAGGGATCAATTTCAGAATTAATTGCGTTAATTACTTGATTATCTCGGTTGTACATATTCTATATTCTAAAAATCATTTTCGGGAAAATAGTTAATTACCTATGAAAATTGTCCTTGGAAGTGTTTGTTTGCGTTTTGAGAATATTGAATCAAGGATTATGATTACAACTCTTATTGGGTAGATAATTGTAACTAATAACATACATTTAAATCTGAACAGTATACGACAATCTTTGCCCTTGATAAGACAATCAGTTCATCGTTTAGGGCTTCAAGATATAATAATTTGTAGAATTATATTTGGGATGTTTACATGTACATTCAAATCAATATACTTATTTAAAACATCGACAAATAGCAAATGTAAAATTCCTCACTGTATACCTACAAAATTCTACACCCAATTTTTCTTCCAAATCTGTCATGAGGGTAAGATGATGCATATATAAAATTAACCAAATCCTATCGAATATTCGAATATATTCAAATACTTTCATTGAATATTCGAATATGAATTACTGACAAAATTGACATCCCTAGTTTTAATGTTTTCCATTAATACACAAAAAATCTTCCACTTTTCTTAAATATTAATGATAAAGTTTACTTCGTGAAGGTACAAGGATGTGTGTCAATCAAACGCGTTCCAAAAATTGTTCTTATAATAATTTCCAGATAAAGGAAGTTTCTTAGGAAGTTTTTTTTTTTAAATAACATTTCGAGGTGAAATGCTCTAACAACATACAAGTATGTTTTACTAAAAATTCTTGAAAATTTCAACTTCAAATCTCTGTACAATTAAGACCCTTTCATGATAGATTTTATTTGTTAACAAGGTCATTGGTTTAGCCTTAGAAATTGCGAAATCTAGCATGTTTGACGTCGCATGTGGGTGGAACTTGAACTTTCATGCCAACATAGTTATGTTGCATGTTGACATATTTATGAGACTTTTGACCTAATTAGCTTGCAAGTCGACATAATCTATAGAAAAAATAACTTGTATGTAGGGGGTAGAAATATGCCACCATACTTTTAAAGTTTGAAATTCTCGTCTTTTCGAGCACTATATCAATTTTTTTTTTTATAGAAGATTGTGCATTTTTCTCAAATTATCTATCTTTAAATTATGTTCATTCTTGATAATCAAGACATAAGAGATTTGCAAATCGTAATTCCTATGTAACTAAAATACAAAAAATCAACTATCTGAATGTAGCACAAGAATGATGACTCACTCTTTGTTTCTCGATACAGCTATTCATGTCTACAATGGTATTTGATCAATCTGATACCTTAGAATTTAAGCAATTCGATCTATGTTTTTATTCCGTCTGTACTAGTAGTAAGTGCTTGTCTGGGTGATTGAGCTGGAATATATAATAATGCTTGTGATAAATATATTTACAATTATATGTTAATCATACTTTTGAAGTCGAAGGGTTTAATTCAGTACCCAGGTACATAAACAGTAGGTTTATAAGAGCATCATATTAACATAAAACTCAAATAATTCCAGATATTATTAATTATTTGAAGAAGATATTATCAATGTATTTGATGCATGAAACAATTCAATTGAAGAACTCTTCAAATTTTTGAATTATTTGAGTTTATTTGCGTTTGTTAATTTTGCGCTCTATAGATCTACATACTGAGTATTGGTAACTGCACTCCCTTGGATTTCATTTATATAATTTGTATATATCCTTCATCAATGGCATGTTTTATTATAGTTCCATGGAAATGTGTTTTAAAATGAATAAATACACATCAAGAAGGAAATTAAGACTTGACATTATCACTACAATGAAAAAAGTCAAGGAAAATATCAAATAACTTTTCTAGACAACAAACTCAAATGCGTCGACAGTTGCTACTAAAATGATTTATGATAAACGAATTACTACAGTATAGCTTAAAGTCATCGATCAGAGCGGAAATCGATCAGATTTTCGTAAAAAGACTAAACTCATTCCCAGTCCTATAGGTTTCTTCTTTTGCCATCAAATCCCATTAGAATACGAACAACAAAAGTAAAGATATCTACCAACAAGATAGAATGTACACCTGTGCGAACATTTTTAGCAAAAATCAATCCATTGTCAAGGTACTTTCGCTATAATTCTCTCCCTTTTCTTTCTTTTTTTCTCAAAAAATTTTTACAGTTCACTTTATTTAATTTACTTCAAAATGTAAAGCAAACAATTCTACATATAAATATGACTTATTTAATGCATTAAAAAACAGTTACAATGTATATTTAAGAGAATTGGGCATGTTCTGCAGTCAATCTTGACCTAGCCTTTAACTCCTCTAATCAAACAATTCGTCCATCCAGTGAATCCGCTCACTAATATGTACTTGTATCAATCCGTGTAGAGCGCAAAATTAACGTAAACTCAAATAATATTGCAGATATCTTAAATTAATTTACGAAATCATTGATTCTAATATTGCGTGCTATAATTGATGTGTGCGTAAAATCAATTATTGCTCTTATCAATTCAATTGATGTGTGCATCAATTGAACTTATGGGAGTATTTTTTTTTTATTTGATGCGCGCATTAATGCAATCACGTCTCTCATCAATTCAATTGCGGAGCTTAAAAATTGATGATTTTTTTTTCACAAAAATTAATTAGCACCTATGTATGAATGATTTTTAAAAAACCTCCTTAATTTAATTGAAGTTCTCTGCAATTATTCTACAACGATTTTACAATAGGAAATAATGCTTGCATCAATTCTTTTATCATAGACAGAATCAATTCAATTAAAGAGATCATCATGAAAATTATAGATATATGTTGCTGTTGATATGTAGCTATCTCTAATTCAGTAGTGGCTCTTTCTATAGGATTGTTGAGTGCCTCAGTTGAATGTAAACGAAAATGAAGAATTCGCGAGTTATTTGAATTAATGCGAGCATCGCTTCAATTGTTGTATTTAAGTATTATTTCCTATTGTAAAATTCAATGAAATCAAGGAGATTTTTTAAAAAAAAATCAAATAAAAAAAATATTTCCCGGGGGAAATCCTACTCTGTGTAATAGTTATAGAGTGCAATTTTCCCCCGAGCCAATTTCCCCCACCCCCCATAAAATACCATGGCTGTACTTATGTATGAGGGGGAAGGGGCGACATACTGTTACAAGAGTCCCTTCGAAATAGCGACCAGTTCCATTGGAACATACGAAGTATGAATAATGAAAATTTAAATCTCACTTTTCTCAGTAACTGTCCAATTTTTTTTTTTAAGAATTAAAATTGTATTCTTTTCATCTGGTCAAACTAGATTCTGAAAATTACTTAGAACAATGTAATCGGTGAACAGATTTTAACTTTTTCCATAGATACAGATACAAAAATGAATTTCACATTTTTTTTTTAAATGAATTTTTTCTTCAATCCAGAGTTCAATCGTATTTCAAACTTCTCGACAGTATTTGCTCTCTGCTTTTATATTCAATATTACATCGCTAGGGTTGAGGGGGTATACTCATGCTCCCGCTTGCAAAAGCAGTGTTTCTTGTATTGTTGTGTTTATGGATTTGGCTTTTTTTTTTCTTTGAAGAACTATATTAATACTCACAAAATGGCATGTGCATAAAACCCATAAATAACATAAATTTTAGAATTTTCTCGCACACAGTTTGTAAAAAGGATGGATCCATAGAGGAAATACTGCATGGGTCTTAAGAGGGCAAACAAACTGTCAAATCACTATAGAAGTGTCCTGAAATAATTTTAAAATTTGTGAACAAATACGTACCGCTGCGCCGAGAAAGGGTATTGAAATATCGAGTCTTAGATTTTTAATTGACTTATTTATCATTTCCTACGAGTTAAAATTTTGGGTTGAGACCCAGTGATTTAAACTCTTTATTTTAAGATTTCATATTAAATTCAAATACTCTTTAGTCAATGATTTAAGCATTCATTAAAGAGGGGAAATCCTACTCTGAGAAAGAAAGAGGGGGAAATTTGGCTCTAGTGTGAGATTTCCCCTTGGGGAAAATCCTACTCTCGAATATTCCGGGGGGTGGGGGGCTGCTCTGCGGGAAATCCTCCTCTACAACACCGGTAAATGCAATTACAAATACATTTGTATACTAAAGTATCAGTAGGTTGGAACAATTGCTTTCGCTCCCGGTGCAACAGAACCAGAATTTAACCATTAAAATAAAACAGTACAAAAATTAAATTGATAAAAGAATTGATTGTTTGCATTAAAAATATTTACGCTCCATTTAAGAATCGAACCAAAAAATTTTCGATTCCATTGCACTAGACGGGTAACGCATACAACTTAACTATAATCACTACTTACACGATAGGGATTTTTAAACGACAATGAAGCACCGCATTTCCACATTGTAATTTTTTTTCGAAAACGTTCATTTTTTATGGTCTCTGGGTCTTCACTCCATTTTTTACAAAAGTTTCTTACTTTGAATTAAAATACACACAAATAACGTTTCAAAATCATGGAGAGATGACCCAGAGGTTTAAAAATGTAACGTTTTGTAAAAAATGACTCATCTAGCCAATTTTCAAGTTCTTTTTTAGCAAATCAAAACACAATATCAGGAATTCAAAATATTTCCCTTTCCTATTTCACAGGAACCCGATACATCAAAAGAATGCCAAAATTTCATGCGACAGATCAATGAAATTTTCACTTTTCAAGTGCGCCCAGATTCCTGCCGAATACCAGTCTAAAGTGCCCTCGCTCTTTCAAAGACAGGCCACATACGCTCAAGACAGATAGAACAGATAGTAATTCATTACCCTAGTCACTTAGGAATGATACACAGTGATACCAGTATGAAGACAGAGAATAGGTCAACTATTACTTAATATCATTGATGAATTGAACCATAGACTGGTATGAATGACTAATGTATCATAAAATGTGCTTTTTCTGGATAAAAAAAATTTTTTCATAGATCATAATTCAGAGATGGGGATAGTTATTGCTGAAAATGTGGGTTGTTGTTGTTGTTTTGTTTGTTTTTTTGTTTTTTTTAAATAAAGCAATTTTGATGGCTGTTCTTTGCTTATTTATCCTACAAATGTCCACAATGGACTTCCTTAAATACAACATCAACTGCAACAAAACTATCAAACTTGATCTTACATTACTTTATTATCACTTTCGTTAATGTACATATACAGTATTTATGCACAAAAAAATCCATCATATGAAAAATATAGTAAGAAAGACAACTCAAATATTCACTGCATAATTTTCATAAAAAAAATTAAAAAAAAAAAAAAACACTGATTACAAATGAATGCATAATACTTATTTAAAAAAAAAAGTATCAGTCCTTGTAAAAGAAACAAATAAGCTATAACAACTGTACTTCTTTTTTTATCTGAAACCCAGCCCAGGTAGATTCCATGCTGTGTGTTAAATATCATTACATGTATCAATCTCTTTATGAATCAATGACCATGCACTTTCATATTTAGGAACACGTTGTTCGAATCATTTTTTATCCTCTTTATAACTTACTTTAATAAAGTTCCATTTGTTCATTTTCAAAAAAAGTGTACATTTTATTTTACAGTCACATTCAATCATTGAAAATTAGGAAAAGTAATGTTCTGGACTGTAAAATTGATTTTGATTGGGTTAAAAAAAATTTTTACAAGGTCTTCACATTTTTGCCAGAGAAAATCTTACTTTTCATTACACTGCATCAAACTTTAAGGCTACTTAATATGAATCTAAGAAAGAACTCTTGATTAACATACAATATGAAGCAGTATTTACTTGTGGTAAGACAAAAAAAATCACGACTAAATAAATATAGCATACAAATATTTGATCACATCTTCACATTGGAATTGCTGGAAGCAAATCACTCACAAAATAAAAATACTTGTACTTACAAAGTACATCCTCATTAATTTATATACAGATATTTTCAAATGTAAATATTGTATAACAAGCACCAGGTGCTGGCAAAGAATATATTGCATTTAAACACAGTCATTTTAATTATTACATTTTTTTTTTGTTCAAATGTTTTAAGTTTTACATTTTTAAATAAAACATTTTTTTTAATACAACAGAATTTCACTTCTTTTCCATTCCTCTACGTACAGTTAACAATTACAGAGTTCATTTACAACTCATTGTTCAGGGACAGATAGAACTTGATGCTCTTGTACCTTCAGCCACTAATACATCATCCACCACTATAATTCTCCACCCTGTCCACTGTCTTCTTTCTCCTCTTCATTTATGTCTTCAGTTTTTTCACCCACCATCTCTTCTTCTTCCTCTTCATTGCTTTTTTCCTCTTCTTTCATATCAGCATCATCATAAATGTCGTCTATACTATCCAAAGTGGAGTCTTTCTTGAAGGATACCTCATCATCAACTTCTTCATGTCCATCATCCATCACACTGTCTGCCCCTTCATCCTCCTCCTGGTCTTCCATCATCTCCACATCTGACATCTCTTCTCCAAGAAGATCTTCTTCTTCTGCATCACTGAGTTCTGCCAACATTTGAACTTGTGTCATGTATTCCTGAAAAATTCAACAAAAACCATCACCCCATCTTACTTGACTTAAACAAAAAATTCTATTTATAATGCTGAAGTATCTATACAAAGGATGATTCTCTATAATGCCATTTTCCGGCCTACGATAAAATCACTTAAAAATGTGATTTTATGTAACTTTAATCATTGTATTTCATGATTTTGATGTTTGTTTTTCAACATCGATCACCTAAGTCGCGTGATTAAAAAATCACAAACTGCCGTCAAGTAAAGAAAAATTGAGGGTAGGTCTATTTACATCAAGTTTCTTTGCATGTTTCTAGATGTAAATGATCAAAAATTGTTTATTTATGTCGGAAACATATCAGACTTAAGTAATAAAGGCAAAGATTGTTTAATTTAAGGCTAAAGATATTTTTTATGGCAAGAATTTTGATGCATTCACATTTTGCATATTTTGAATGTAAATCTTTACAAAATGCACCTCGTATGATGTTGAAAAATGTTTAATTAGCATTTAATTAAAAGTATTATTTCATATATGTTTATATTGTAATTGTGTATTGTTTCTATAGATGTGGTACCTATTTTACGCATAAAATGCCCATGCAAGAAATGAGATTTCTAAGTTTCTATTGAACTATAAAAGTTGTGTATCAAATGTTTAAAGCAATGAATGAATTTTGTTTGTGATTAAATCAAAATTAAGTTGTAATTTATAAAATATAGTCTACATTTGCAAAAAAAAAAAAAAAATAACAATAAATAAAGAATTCATTAATTTACAGGATAAAAATATTAATGCAAGTACATCTTGATAGTCAGTACATAAAACTCGAAAGGTTGTATTGAAAATATATATATCGACGTAAAATGAAATAACATCGTAAGAGTTGCTTTTATTCAATTTAATTACGCATGTAAAACAATATATTTAATTTAAAATGCTATCTAAACTATAATACACAAATGTATGTGTAAAAGTCGAGTCCCCCCCCCCCCCCCACGGCACTCCATAAAATGGAGTAGATTTTAGATTTTCAACAGTTCCTTTCACTACGCATATCAGAAGTTTTAGTATATCCATGGACTAACAGAGTTCTACAACATCTCAGGAACAAAATGGACCGTAAGAGATGACACTCCTTTTGCACTCTTGAAACCTGAGGATTAAATTCTCTTTCCGTGCTGCGTCAAGAACTAAGGTGTTTAACACGGGTAGTGACAGTTCCTTTGCTAAGTCCTCAGCATTGAAAGTAAAAGTCATGGGTCTTTTGGATATTATCTTAAAGAAGGAGGTCCTGCCCCACGGTAGGTGTTGGTCAATACTGAAACCATGCATAAATCAAAATTGTGACACTTCACCTTAAGTGGTTGATCTCTTTATCTGGGTGAAAAATTCTAAAATGACCTAAAGCAACATTCAATTATCAATCACTTGACATTTAGGAACCCCTTTCCTCCTTGGCGTTTTATTTTCTAAGACAGAACTACTGTTCTCATAACTTATATTGATGCTACCAAAGAAGTGTGATGAATAGATTGAGTCCTCTCAACAATCAGTTAACAAAATACATGGATCCTATGTCACTCATACGGAAAAGTGTCCTTCTAAAAGGTCGAGGCGAGAATTTCCATTATGAAACCATCCCATCAGTAATTCTCTATCTATAAAAGTTACATGTGTACCCATAGAAAAATTAAGTTTATAACACAAATAGCAAATGCATCTTCCCGCTACAACAAAAATAGCTTTTATCATTTCTAGAACTAATAACAAATATGCAGTACTCCTAAGGAAATACAAATACAAAGAATTAGCATAGATAAACTAAACTACCCTATTAATAGTAATAATTATAATAAGTAACTTATATTCATGCCTTATACATGTAGTCTATAAAAAAATTTCTTTATTTCTAGCAGATAGTTCAATGAGACTTGTCTTCACGTAATTTCATAACAACCAGTCATTTCAGTCCTTTGATTTTAGATTTTTTAAGTAAAAAGTTTACCTTTTTTGAGTAAACATGCATGGCTTATATTAATTCTTAGTAAATCAATAGAAACATGTACTTTAAGTGGAAGTTTATAATAAGAAATAATCTACATAAGCTGATATCCTCCATTGTGAGTAGTTAGCTTTTTCCTGCATATATCGTAAAAATGAAGCGAAAAGTTTTTATTTACATGTCATAACCACCTTTAACCATGTTGATAATTTGGTAGTCACTTTTTATGTTCATAAGAAGTTTACTTGCAAATTTTGGTGTTGGTTAAAGGTGGTTATGACATGTGTAGGAGTTACCTAACACACCAACCCTCTTGAGTTTTCCCATTACCCTAATGCTAATACGGACCGATAGTACCTTACTTTGTGACCCTATATCATAACAAATACTTTTGTATCATTAACCAATCAACATTTATCATTAAAATGGAACATTAGCCTACTGACTCATGCAGTTTTTAAGGGAAAAAATACTATTTGAAAATTTGAAGTCATTGTAGGCCACAAAACGGCCTTATAGAGAATGATCCTTTAAACTGAAACATTCTACAACTTAATATTCACAAACCTCATAGTTGTTTCCCACTAAGTGTTGCATTTCATGTTTAACAAGGATATCAGATGTTGAAAACTCTCTTTCACAGTATTGGCAGATGTACTCGTAATTCTCCATTTCAGTCTTGGCTGTCTCTGGTTCAGTCTGGGACATCTCAGGTCTCTCCTCCAGCTGAATTGTCTCTGGTTCATTCTCTGTCACATTAGCCATCTCTTTAGTATTTTCTGTCTTGTTGTCATCCATCTGATCAGGCTCTGTAGGTTTCTTGTCAACATTTTCAATACTGCTCTCATTTGTAGCAAACTTCGTAGTGTTTTCTTCAATAGATGCAGAACCATTTTCCTCAATTGAATTATCTGTTTCTTTCTCACCTTTGATTGCCTCTGAAGTTTTCTCATTATCCTCACTGCCAGTATCCTCCAAGTTTGCCTTCCCACAGCCATCAGCACGATAGAGTTCTGCCACAAATAATGCTTCGGAGAGATCCGGATTTTTGGTTTGTTTGACTCGGTCAATCTCACCATTCTGTGCCAGCCAGCTTGAGAGCTCTGGCAAAGGGCAAAAATGAACCCCAATGTGTTGTGTAAGTAGATGTTGTTTGGACACAGAGTAATCACAATATGGACAGGCAAGTTCACTCTTGATCATATGAAATTTTAAATGAGCTAGAAGATGGTCTCGTCTGACATTGGCATAAGGGCATCTGTCACATCGGTACAATTTCTTTGGCTCTATGTCTAGCTCAGGTGAGTTTTCATACATGTCCATGTGATCATGTGTAACGCTAACAGAGAAGGTTCCTTTCTTGTCCAAGGGAGGCAGGGCACTAGATAAAGCAACATCTGCTGGAACCTCAGACAACATTTGGAGGTTAGAGAGGGATTGCACAGCCAGAAGATTCTGGTTAGGGGTCATATGAAGCTTCTGGTGTTGATTCAAAAGGTTGTTTGAGGGTACACTATAGTCACAGTACAGACACTGGCATCTCTGCTTACTGCCATGCAGAGCAACATGGCGCTCATAGTGAGACTTTTTTGCACTGGCATATGGACATTTCTCACAACTGTACTTTTTCCATCTTGCAATTTCGTAAAGCGTGTCCACTTTATTGTCATACGAAATGTCTCCCACATCTGAACTGGACTCTTCCATTTCCTCCATTACAGGGGCACTCTCCTCTCCATTCTCCAGCTCCAGTGAAAGGTCCATAGATGTGTCTGCTCTGTAGCTTGGCTGATGTACCTTAAGGTGGTGTGATAGAAGACCTTTGGATCCCACATAGTAATCACAATGAGGGCACTTTAGCAAAAGGTTTTTGGACTTCCTAAATCCATGCATGAGTTGATGAAGACGAAGGTTTCGCAAACGTAGATTCATGTAGGGACACTTGTCACATGTGTGCATCTTCCTATATACACCATTTTTCAGAGCATACCCAGGCCTATTACCAACAGAACATGCAATTTTCATTGGTGACATGGCTGGCTTTTGTGAAATACTGGGAGTAATCTTAGATGAGATCATGCGCTGCTTGTACATGGCTAATGTGACTGTGTCTTGTATGGCACTCGATTCTGTTATGTCAGACTTGCAAGGTGAGGATGACACAGGGCTTGCATTTCCCGGAGAATGCCCAGCTGCCTCATGCATCCTCATATGTTGGTTAATCAGCCTCTTGTGTGTTACCCAATAGTCACAGTAATCACACTTAAACTCAGAGGTGGACCTCTGGCGATGAAACTGTTTATGGTAAAGGAAATCATTCTTGCTGTTAGTTGTGTATGGACATATGTTACACTTGTAACGTTTTGGTGTTCCACTTGGTGACTGGGGTGGAAACATTGACATTTTCTTGGTGGGTGTGGACTTCATGTTGGCAGCCTCCTTCTGTCTCAGGTACATGTCCTGAAGATGGAGCCGCATATGTTGATGTAGCAGACGTTTTGCAACGACATAATAAGGACAGAATTTACACTTCTCCTGTAGAATCCCTGGTTGTGGTTTGTGACAACTCTCGTGGAAATGAAGCAGATTTGGTTTACTTGTCCTGTAAGGACAAATGCCACACTTGTGTTTCTTAGGGTCACTTGGTTGCTTAAAGAGATCATCTTTGGGTGGCTGCATTTTATCAGAGGAAGAGGAGCTTGTCCGTTTCTTCTCCTCTGACTGATAAAATTTGTGAACAACATCTATCAAGTTAGAGTAATCCTTTGTTTTATGAGTCTGACGAATGTGACGACAAACTGAAGACCTCCAATTGGCTTGAAATGTGCAAAGTTTGCATCTAAATGATTCAATGTACCTCATAGTATCCTCCTTATCATCGGACAAATAGTCACTTTCCTCGGATTCCTCTTCCACTTTTTCAGAGTTGTTGTCCTCTTCTCTTGCAACATCGCATTCTGCTTTCAAGTCTCTGATGTACTTTATAGAAACTTTACATACTGACATATTTTCTGTACCATGTTTTGCCTTAATGTGCCTGAAAGCTGAGCTCCTATAATTTGTTGCATAGTGGCACTCATTGCATTTGTAAGCCTTTACTCCATGGGACGACAGATGCTTAATGACCAGAAGTTTGTCTTTGTTGGTGAATTTACATCTGGCGCATTTCCAAATCCTACCTGAATCTTTTTTCTCCAAAGTCTTCATAGTATTTCGACGGAATCGTGGATTATACTCATATTCTGTCAGTGATTTTTTGGCCTCTTCAGTACCAAGAAGAATTATTTTTGCTCTGACAACTCCATGTTTCCTTTTAATATGGCGAACCAGGTCACTTCTCCAGTTGGACCTGTATGGACAAGCTGAGCATTTAAACTGCTTGAAAACACTTCTTGAAGGCATTTTATCCCTGTGATATTTCTCCTTCTCTGGTGTTTTTGGTTTTTCTACTGATTTATTTTGGTTAGCATTGTTAGCTGCTGCTAGCTGTCTCATGTAGTCATGGTAAGTTCTCTTGGCTTCATCCTCATCCATTGTAATAACTGTGGCATGCATGTTGGGATGTTTCATTCTCATGTGTTTGTTCAAATCCCATTTCCAGTTTGACCGATGGCCACAAGCAGAGCATTTGAATGGTTTAATATAGCCAAACACCTTAGGGTTAGCAGATACTAGTGGTTTGTTTGTAGGAGTTGGTGTAGACTTTCCACTCAGAGGTTCATCAATATTCCTACGAGTTGTTTCATTTTTGTAGTATATCTTAACTTCCATGTTAGGGTGTATAAAGCTATAGTGCCTTTTCATGTCTCCCTGACTGTTAGTTCTTTTCTCACAATTAGGCTCTCCACAGCGGAATGGTTTGTGTGCCTCAGCAGGATTCACTTTGGACAGTTTCACCAGTTTGTTCTGTGACTTTGGTTTTAGGTCCTCAGGAGACAGCAATGTGCCACTGGATCCTTCAATATATATTATCTTGACATCCATGTATGGATGAATGTAATGATAATGCTTTTTTATATCTGCTTTGAAGGCACATTTCTTTCCACACTCAGCACACATGTAGGGTTTATCGCTTTTCTCTGTTGATTGTCTGTTGTTATTTGAAGTGCTGGGTAAATCTGTAGAGTTATCAGATTTGTTGTTCTTGCCTTTTTCATCACCTCCATGATAAACAATATCAATAGCCTTGCCATTGTGAACCGTTCTGATGTGTCGGCTTACAGTCCACCGCATACTGGATTTGAAGCCACATGCTGCACATTTGTATCCTTTCCACTTGGGACTCAGTGCCTCTGCATCTTTCTTGCTCTCTTTGGCTGTTGGGTCATAATTTAAATGGTGTTCTCTCCTGACCACAGGCATAGTGTCCATATAAGATTTGATAGTAGCCTCTGCTTCTTGCTCACTCATCTTGACAACATCCAGACTGCTCTCTGGATGGTCCCGCTTTATGTGTTTACGAATATCCCACTTCCAGTTTGCCCTCCTTCCACATACAGGACACATGTACTGCTTTAAATTGGTGTGAGTTGAAACATGAGCCGATAGCTTAGAAGGAGCATTGGTTGTAAAAGGACAGTATTCACACTTGAATACAGTATCTTTGGAAGGGGATGGAGATACACTTCTGGAGTTTTCTCTTGAATTTGTTCCATCATTTCCAAATGAATTTTCTGTGTTAGAGCTGATATTACTTTCTTCATTATCGTTATCCAAATGTCCATACATGTCACTCTGCATGCTCGGATCTGAAAGATTGGAGTCATTGTTTTCCGACAAGTCCTCTGCGTATTTCCCATCTTCACTATCAACATCCATTTGGCTAGAGCGACCTCCCTTTTCTTTGATTTTGTTCTCTAGGATAGTAATGACCTCCTCAATTTTGACACCACCAGTCATGACTGCTGGATGATGCTTAAACATATGTCTTCTGATATCCCCTTTCCAGTGAGTTTGATATTTGCAGTAGTTACAACGAAAAGGCTTGCTATCTTTATGCTTTCTTGAATGACGGTCCACCTCAGATTTCCATGGTGATGCGAAGGAACAGGAAGGGCATTTGAACATGGCTGGAGAAGACTTCCTGTTGGGCACCATAGGAACTCTCAAGATAGGTACATTTGAAGGTTCCATTTTATGATCACGTCTAAGATGAACATTTAAATCTCCAACATATTTATATTGCTTGGAGCACTCTGGGCATTTATACCTCTTCTCCATAGAATGGACTGCAGAATGCCTCTTAACATCACTTGGCAGTTTTCCTACAAAACTGCACTGTTGACATTTTAGGTCCTCTGCTGTGAAGGATTGTTGATTAGATAAATCACTGCTGTTTAGGTTAGATGAATCAGAGTGGTAGGACATATCCTCCATTGCTTCCAGACTATCATTCTGCTCCTCTTGTAACATCTGCAGCAAATGATTTCTCATCCTTTTATTGTGCTTTAACTTCATATGTCTATCCAAGTCCCAAGATCTCTTATACTTCAAGCCACACCAAGGACATGCATAAGTTCCATCAGGTGCTTGAAGTTTGTAACTATATTTGGCCACCACATGTTCTTTTGGGTCACTTCCTACTGAGTTTGGAGTCACTTCTCGACTATCATCCACTTCATACTCCATCTGCTCTACCTGTGGCTGGTCCATTGCTCCATGATTTGATTGGTCAATTGTTCCTCTGGTAGTGTCTATTTCCACTGCTGCTTCATCCTCCTCCTCAGGAGCATGAGGAATCACTACAGTGATGTCCTCATGTATGCTGGAGTGACTGGTTGCCATGTGCCTAATGATTGCCCTATCATTATCACTGGAAAATGAACAGAAATTGCATTTGTTGGCAAAAGAGTTGGTGTGGTTATTGCGATGTCTCTCATAATTGGGCTTGAAGTCTGTACTGTAGTCACACTCAGAACACTGGTAGGCTGAAGATTTAGTCTGCCTCATACCTTCACTGTGTTCTGTGTGGCAAGCTTGCTCATACCCACCATCACCAGAGGCTCCAGTTTCTTCATAGTAAGTTGAATACTCCATTTCACACTGCTGGCTGGGCACACTGGCCATTGCATCAGTGTTTTGTGTCTGGACCTTCGTGGACTGGTCTCCTGCATTGCCATGCTCAGCCTTGTGGGCAAAAAACTCAATTTTCTTTGTTGTTTTAAAGTCACACAAGGTGCAGGAAAACTGTTTGGCATTCAAGTGACTAGAGTTAACATGTTTCTGTACAAAGCCTCTGTCTGGGTTATTGAATGCACACTTCCTACATTTAAAGTTAACATGACCAGTTGAGCTGACTACTTCCTCTATATAAATATCCATGTCTACTGAATTTGTTATGGTTCCTTTGGACACTGCAGCAACTCTGTTGCTTCTTTCTGCTTTTACCATGGTTGGGAGTCCCTCTAAAGAGTCCTGAGATTTGCTTGTTACCAATTTAGGCATAGGGGTCTTGACATTACTTTTTGCCTCATACAAAGTCTCAATGTCTGCAGAATCAATATCTGTCTTGTGCACCATTTGAACATGTTTCTTTATTTTCTGTTTAAACCTTGAACAGTACTCACAGTAAGCACAGGTAAAAATGCTCATGTTGTAAGTGTGAGCCTCTACTTGATGAAAAAGAAAGGTTCTTGATTTCCCCGTGCTAAATCCACATTCCGAGCAGTAGTAGGACCTGTTCTTGGCCTTCCCTGGCACTAGGCTCTGGCTCTCACTGCTTTTTCCATCTGTAGACTTTGGTGTAGCATGGCTGTCAGATGCTGTACTTTCTTTAGGTCGTATTCTAGAAATGGTGATTCCCTTTGCAGTAGCTGCTGAGGCAAACATTGGGACAGCAGACTTGGTTTTCCCTTTTGTCTTTTTGCGTTCTTTTTTGCATCTTACCCTATGCCGCTTGAAAATGTAGATATTTTTTGTAGCAAACTCACACAAGTCACATTTGTGCAAAGGGAGGTTTACAGCTTTATTTTTCCCCATCACTGCTCCAGCTGGACAACCTGTAAAACAAAAAATGGTGCAATGTATGATAATCAATGAATACATGTATATTTATTCAATGTCAGATACATTTTTTTTAATTATATTTTCAACAGTGAATTAATTTATTGAATAAAAGTGATATTCTCTCACAGTGTGAAAGGATACCAAAGTGATATTCTGTCACAGTGTTAAAGTAAAAAATAACATCTGGCCTGTCATGAGATATAGTAACTAAACCATCTTGATAGAGACTATAGAGACTAAAACTGCCAATTTATTCCCAAATATGTGGCTAAAATCCATGTTACTATGTTTTCAATCACACAACTGCTAAGCTGGCGTCTCAACCCCTCAACTATGAGGACACAGCCTATGACACTGTGTTAAGAAATGATAGAGGCAAAGGGAAAATCAAAGAATATGTAATAAACAGAAAATTCGATGATTTGTAGTTAGATATGGAATTTATTTCACTCGTGAGACAGGATTTTTTAAAATACTTTCACTCGTGCTTCCCTCTCATGAAAATATAAAAAAAAAATCTGTCCCACTTCTGAAATAAATTCCATATCCAACTACAAAACAGTGAATATCCTCCATTTACATTTCTTTGAGAGAGAGAGAAATGTCTCTTACTTCAATTACCTTGCCATCCCTTAACTTTTATTAAATACTGTGAAATTACTTATTTATAGGGGTATAGTGGATGCTGTTAATTTTGTTGATTTCATGGTATGAAGAAACTGAATGTGGCTTGATTTCCTGGTATGAAGAAACTGAATCTTGCTTGACTGTTCTTGAGAAGATTTTAAAAGATTTTTCCTATATATTCTGACGTAAAACTATGATAACTTATTCTGGCCTCATCCTATATTATATCATCCATATATCCCTGGGGACTTGAATCTGCAGTACCTGAAAATGCTTCCAAATCAATGTCTAATCATGGCCTTGATGTTTGTTCCTAAATATTCCCAAGCAACTTTTTGATCCCTTATTTTGGCTTTAACCTACCCCAAGGGGCCATGGTTTAAACAATCTTAAAACAGAACTACCTGAGGGTGCTTGTACATCATGGCTTTTCTGTTCTTGACAAGATTCCAATGCTTAAGTCCTCTTTTGTGATCGAACCTTACTCCTTGGGGGGGGGGGGGGGGGGGGATAGGGAGGTCATCAGGGTTTGAAAAAAACTTGAATCTACACCATCTGAGGATGCTCTAATATCAATATGACTCATAATGCCCATGCTGTTCTTGAGAAGAAAATTTTGTTTCCTACATATTCCTATGAAAAACATTGATTGCCCACTGTGGCCCTACCCTACCATCAGGGGTCATGATTTCAACAACCTTGAATCCTTGAATCTACACTACCTGAGGATGCCCCATATCAATATGAGTAATCATGCCTTTGCTGTTCTTGAGAAGAAGACTTTTAAAGATTGTTTCCTACATTTTCCTTTATAAAACTTTGTCTGTTATGGCCCCACCTTAACCCAGCAGTTGACCCGAGCTTCATGATTTGAACAAATTTGAATCTACACTATGTAATGAAATTGTAAGTTTCAACTTTTCTGGCCCAGTGTTTCTTGAGAAGAAGATTTTAAAACATTACTCTTTTAAATTCCTGTATAAAACTTTGATTGCCCATAATGGCCCCACCCTACCCCAGGGTACACTATGTAATGAAGCTTTTGCCTAATGGTTTTTGAGATGATTTTTGAAAGTTGCCATTAAATTTTCACTAATTCTTAAATAGCTCTCCCTTGAAAAAGGAAATGGCCCATCAAATGAAGAAACTTAATCCCCTTCACCAAAGGATGCTTTTTGGCAAGTTTGGTTGAAATTGGCCTAGCAGAACTGCTTAATGAAAATTTGTTATCTTCTCCAGAACTGGAGAAGATAACAAATTTTCATCAGAAAAGCTCACTTGAGCCTTTTGCTCAGGTAAGCTGATAATACCTGCTGGATTTGTTGTATATCAATTCTTCAAGTGGTCCTTACACTTCATTAATGGTTTAATTGCTGACTTCATCTCTGCAAAAAAAAAAAAAAAAATTCAACTGTGAAATAATGGCCAGGATTTAATAGTTTAACTTGGGTTGTCAATTCAATCAATTTTTAGTAACTGGTTACTCGCCTGCCATTCCATTTGCATACTCATTTTTCAAGAAAAAAAAATCAAAATTTAAAACTATTTATTTTCATGATCGTATGTTTTCTCTTTGAATGTAATTTCAGGACCTGAATGAGATAGCTATGACATTAATTCAGTCATGGAGTGAAAAGAATATAAAATTCAAATATAATTTATTAAAAATATAAATACACTTAAAATAATAAAAATTCAGTTTTGATTTACTGAAACTTTGGAATGATTATCAATATCAAATCAAATGTAAATACATTTCATAAATTTCAACATTCATGTTCTCGAACATTTGCAAAGGCATGCAATTCAACTATTATATAACTCATGTTATGTGATCAGAATGTGAGCCTGAAATTTTGTTCGCTACGTGAAGACTTTAAAAAGTTTGAAATGGTTAGGAGTGAAACGGTTCACCGCGGTATCAATTCACCGCGGTATTTTTTCTCGGTTTGATACACGGTGCAAAATCTCTAATTTTCGGTTCGGTTCATTTTTCGGTCGGGATCGTTATTCAGTCGGGTTTGGCATAAGGTAAAACACGTTACTCAGTATAAATAATTATAGAAAACCTAAATTTTTGATGACTGATAGCTTGTAAAATAAATTTTGACAGTCAAATAATTTTAATCAATTTCTTCTAGTCAATTTGCAAATAAAATTCGTAAAATATGCGACTAGATTTAGAAAAAGAAAGCATAAAACAACGTTGAATTTGTTTCATTCTATCAAAATGTATCGTATCGAAAATAACCGAACCGAGACAAAATTATACAATACGTATCGAACCGCGAAGGAGGTGTATCGTTTCACCCCTAGAAATGGTTGTTTTTCCTGTATTTATTATCTTTAATGTATTATACAGACACATACCTATACCAGTTATATAGTTTCTGCATTTTTGATTTATTAATTATATCATATTTAGATATACTCATTTTTGTACTGTGTGATTTATCAAAAAACAGATCTCTTTGCCACTGAATACAAGTTCATAAACACTATCAAACATAATGTTAAAGATTTTAAGCCAATATTTAGTTAGGTATGTGTGTAATATTTCAGGCACAGTTGAGACAGGATCACTTTGTACCCTGAGCCATCTCTGTCCATCTTTTGGAGAAGAGCCATATTTTTCACTATCAAGATCATCTGCAGACATTAACTTACGTTTCCTCTAATATTTCATTATTTATTTTATTACATGTAGTAATTTGTTGGTGTGGAATACTGTTACTCAAGAATAATTAACTGACTATCAGAATAATGAGTTGACACATATCATACTCAATTATTGCAATTTAAAATCAACAAATCAAAAATTGATGCCATTAAAAATTGGTTCCGATATAAATCTAAATGCATGTTATTGTAATATAAAACAAGAGGCCCAAGGGCCTAGAATCGCCCTTCTGAAAATTGTACAACCTATAATCTCACTTGTTTTAAGCCTCTTGGTAATACATGATTAAGGATAAAGTCTTGAAATTCCAAGAGTAGGTCAGCATGGCAACAATTGACAAAGTTCAATAATTCCAAGCCAAGTAGTATCTGAAACACTTAAATTTAGCCATGAAGTTGCAAAAATATGGTCACAGTGACCTACTTTTTGGTTGATACACTCTGATGACTCAAATTGCATCAACTGACAAAGTTTGATGATTCCAAGTCAATTAGTAACTGAAAAAGCCATCAAATTCCAAAAGTAGGTCACGGTGACCTACTTATTGGTTGACACACTCCAGGTACCAAAGATGCATCAACTGACAAAGTTTGATAATTTCAAGCGAATTAGTGTCTGAAATATTAAAATTAAGCCATGAAATAGCAAAAGTAGGTCACAGTGACTTACTTTTTGGTTGATACACTCCATAGACTCAAGATGCATCAACTGACCAAGTTTGATGATTCAAAGTCAATTAGTAACTGAAAAAGCCATCAAATTCCAAAAGAAGGTCAAAGTGAACTATTTTTTGGTTGACAAACTTTGAGGACCAAGATGCATCAACTGACAAAGTTTGATGATTCTAAGCCAATTAGTGACTGAAATAGCCATCCAATTCCAAAAGTAGGTCACGGTGACCTACTTTTTGATTGACAAACTCCAAGGACTCAAGATGCATCAACTGACTAAGTTTGATGATCCTATGCTTCAAAGTGTCCAAAATATACCCCTAAAACAATTCGAAAATGAATACCTGTAAAATTCCAAAAGTAGGTCACAGTGACCTACTTTTTGATAAATCTGTTTTAAGGCCCCTAGGTGCATTAACTTACAAGGTTTGATGATTCTAAACCTCTTAGTATCTGAAACCATGAAAATTTGACCCTTTGGAAATATGTTTTTTCTGAAGTAACTTCCAAAGAAAATGAGCATGACTTGAATTCCCATGACCCATTGATGATTTGATCGTGTTCAGAATTCTTCCCCTGCCCCCTCTCTGGAGACTTCCCTCCCAAATTCTGGATTCTCCGATCCAAATAACTACTCAATGGCTCTGAGTATCGAGTATAGGTATAAATTTGAAGCCCTCCAACTGCAAGTGGTGGCAATAATCTCCTTATGAGTGAAAAATTCTCAAGTGGGACCTTAAACAACAAACAATACCTAGCTGTGACTTTGCTGTCCTTAATTATATTAATGAAATTGTTTAAATATAAATTTAACAAGTATAGATCTGCATATTATCCTTGGGATAGTTATGAAGTTGAAAGTTTAAAATTTCAAGGTTTCCTTTCATAGGGAAGCCTGGATAGCTCAGTCCTGAGATTGAATCCAAACTATATTGATTAAAACTTTAGTACTTAATTGTAACTTTCCTGTGCTTTATATAATCCTAGCCTGAGAAAGTTGTAGAAGTCCTGA